GTTCAGTATGACTAAGTAGAAGTGAATGCTCTGGTGAGATTCCTTTGACTGACTGCATTGCAACACTTTTTGTTTTTTAAATATTAAATATTAAATAAATATTAAAGTAAGTTTTCTATTGTAGGAACAAGGGCTAAAAATTGGAATTTCGCATCAACTTCTCTTCACTATGTTTACTTGCTTTGGTAGGGATCAGCTGTTTTGCTGATATTTTTGGTAACAAAGTATTGCAGTGATTTCGATTTCAAGGATTGCTTTTACGTTAAGTGAGCGCCCGGAAAAGCCAGTTGTGGCCTCGGATCTGTCCAGTGGTTGAGGGTTTGCAAATATTTCAGTGTCGTTTCGATTTGTTAAGTTGGTGTTCGTTTCAGTTTTTTAAGACCAACCATCACCCTTTCATTAGACGTCAGATAATTTTTCAACATTGGATGATTCACTGCGTAACAAAACAGTTTCGTAATCGGAGTTTGTTTGCGGGTTATCCTGTGATTAGGTGTCGCTTATGTCATTGAACTTCATGCGGCAGATTCTGTTTTGGTTTTTATTGTTTTTATCACATAAATTTAGGAGCAGTTATTTGTAAAGTGTGTAATTTCTGTAGAGTTACATGAAATCCACTGTTCTTCGAGGATAATCGGATAGCCAAAAAGTATATGTTTACTAAACTACTTTTTTATTATTAAAAAGTTGTAAGTTCTTTGGTTAAATCTGAATTCCTTCATTAATAGACTGGGCATTTTCTGTCGCTAGGGTTATGTTTGCTTGTAGTCTTGATCATCTGAAGGTTTTAAAATAGCCTATCTTCTTCTTAATGTGACTCAGATAGTGTGATATAGGTACATGGTTAACGTTTTGGGTTTTCACTTTTTTTCACAGTCTGTCTTCACATCTACCTTGCGGATACCAACACTGCATTCGACTCATTTCCACGCAACCACCATCTACAACGGTCTTTACACATTTCACAAGTTGGTTCAGCTGTTTCTTGAGGATTTCCCTTTCGTCAGGAATGTCGTTGAGTGCAGATCGATTCGGTGCTTCCTGGAGTGCTGAAATAGGCAAACCAGAGTAGTTACACATTGATTGCAGGTAGTGAACTTTTTCTGGAAAGGTCTGATACAAATTTCTCGTTCCCAGAGGTATTAGAGGTTTGGTGAACCTGAGGCAGAGTCGAACTGGCACTATGCCCAGGATGATCGGTTTACTTTAGTTTCTCTTTTGGTGAAACGAATTTCTGGAACCGAAAGATTCACATCCCATATTGTCTTACTTTCAATTCTGGCTTATTATTGTCACTTCATTTGACAATTGGCAATCAGAAACTTTACCTATACGAATCAATTCTGGAGTTTACCGTCGTACACGGGTACATTCAACACATCTGCATCTGTGACATCTGCATCACACCCCCATTACGCATATGACTGACTTGCCTTCGCACTCGTACCACATCCGTGTCGCAAAGGCATCCGGTCGCCACTGTAGACACATATATATCTTTGGGTTGTTCTTTCGCTCTTATTCTCGATCTCCTTCGAATCCAAAGTTTTTCAGTATTTGATGGGAATATGCATTAGCATTAGCAATATCTGCATATTTAACAGCACTTGTGATTATTACGGTAATCTCATCCAAAGCTAGGCTTATCTATCTTGACAATCACAACAGGAACGTACAGGTGAGTCTTTTGAAACCATTCCGTGCAACATCATGACTTACTCATGTTTTGAGGTAACCGTTTGTTTGTAAAAAGATTAAGGCGGCTTTCTTTTCAACGTGTGCTATCGCGGTGACATGTTTGAGATGGGGTAATCTATTCGCCATTCTGTTAAAAAGTAACAATTCGCTACCAGTTCTTTACTATCGAAATTTCTTCCATTTCTAAAATAACCTTATTAGAGCGATGGATTTGTTACCAAACAAGTGAGCGTTTGCGATAGTCATGTGAGTGGAGTGTTTGCACACACGACGAGAATTCGTAAGTGGATCGAATAGTAGCAAATCGCCGTAGTTGGTACTGCTTGGGTGATTCGGTTCGCTTGTTCGCTCGATAGAGAAAAAATCGGTGATGGTCGACATCAACTGGTACTGCCTCCGCTATTCGAAGTGGTCAGTATTATATCCGTTACGGCAGTGAGAGTAGAGATCGCCTTGACCCTTCATACTTCGTTCGATCTAACACGCACCCACCCCTCTCTTAACTATATTCCATGTGTCGACCCACGTCCCGACACACATACGTCGGCATCATCGTTTCTTTCGCTAGTTGACGTTCACTACAATTGACCCTGACGAGCTACTAAATGAAGACTAACTGACCACAACTATTATCGTGGCACTCGATTCTGGACGTTATATGTGGACATAATCGAACTATGTCATTCGTGTACTCAGCTGCTATCTACTTGCCTGGTGAAGGCAAGTCTATCAAAAATCTCGAAGGTATTTGCTTCCTTATCTGCTTCCAGTAATCTCTGTTGTCTGTTAAGGATGTATTCCACCACTTTTTTTCTTGTAATTCGTATGTTTTGCGTATGTATTGGCCGCAGTTTTTTCCATTAGAAATGTTTGGAATTGTAGCGTGTTTCCACTATTTTAGTACAGTTCGACAATCATTGTTTCTCTTTCAGACGAAACGCGCCGCTGGCGAGGTGAGATTTCTTCAAGCCGAAGTGCTATAGATTTCGACGAACTGTACACAAAAGAAACAGTAATGCCACAGTATGAAATAAAAGTGAGTGGTGATTTGATTTCCTATGATTTTCCTTTGATTTATGCCACATTATCGTTCACATCCTTTCTCAGTTAAGCAAAGATACGTTACCGAAGAGGTCTGTACTTGATCTCATTTTTTGCCTTTCTTTGGGTTCAGAAGTATAAGATAGTGTGAAACGAAGTTTTATTGAAATGTAAGAGCTTTTTTACTAAGTTGCTGTCGTTCTTATATGGAGGGATTTCCTAGTGAACCTGTATTTGTTAATCTATCCTAGGTGTTCGTAAGCACAGATGCACCTGAACAGGAGTATTTTTCCTTGCTGACAAGTATGTATAAGTTCTGTTGCTAGACGAGAGGACAAAATGATGTTGAAATTTGATCACTTTGTATGTTTTTTCTTTACAGGGGCGAGGGAGGGTTTGTCGGATAAAAAGGTGATTTCGAAGAACGGTTGTTTTAGTTGTAGGAAGGCAAACCTTTTTTATTGAGTCGTATATTCTACGGAGGAAGTATGCTGTTTGCAGAGGGATTGGTTGCTGTCGCAATACCTAAACTGATATCAGTAGAGCGATAAGACGATAGTGAAATTCTTATTGCGTTATTCTGTTTAGTAAAGGCAGTTCTTCAACGGACGGCTATTTTTGGAGTTGCGACCAAATGTTAATAGTCAATGGAATGTTTGAAGAATTCGTATATTTTCAAAAAAAAAATGATTAGAAGTTATTAACAGACAACAACTAAAAGGTAGTAAGAGAACATTCATTTTTCTTAGAAGAAGAACGTTAACGTTAACGTTCGGGTACTTAAAAAGTTTTCTTTTATTACAAATTATAAGCAGTTTCAACTTCGTTGGTTTTAAAACATGATTTTCCCGAGCGTGATAGAGGTTTCACTGGCCAAAATGTTGTGATAGTGATTATGCAGGTTTTTATCCGTATCGATGAAGATCTCATTTACTCAGCCTTACTAATGTTCTAGATCTGTCCTTAGAATTGTAAATGAGGAGCAGCTTTTCTTTATACAATATATTCATTGGGTATCACTTCTGTTTTGCACTCATCATTAAATATTGGCAAAATATCCTGATACTGAAGGTGCCGACCGAATGCCAGCGAACTGCCGAGCTGTTGGCGATTTCTAAGAGTTAGTTAATGGACTCATGTAATTCTTCTGTTTTTTCTTTTTATACGACAGCACACGTGTGATGATAAGTTTTGAGGGTACTGCTAATTATAGGGCCCATAAGAAAATTGCTATGTGAAGACCATGAGAAAAGGTCCCAGTTCTATAAATCTTTGTAATTTGGTGATTTTTTTCCATATATACGCAGTGATCCCTTTGTGAAATATGTTTGTTAACTTGACATCCATTTAATCCACTGGTTTGTGTGGCGATTACGTTCATTGAGTTGCAGGATTGATTAAGGTGTGTATCTCAATGACTCATTTGTGTGGAGTACTGATGTTTATTCGGACTGTGCTTGTTGCTTTACCTATGTCCCGCTTTATGGCCTACATTTGTTTAAGCCGATTTTGTGTTAGTAAAACCGTATCGGATTTTCCTTCATTGAAATGCGTATAGAGAGATGAACTTTGAAAACTACTTCAGAAGTTTCACTTCAACACTAGTTAGTATAGACTGAAATAGCCAATTTTTCGCTCTTTCAACAGTTCCATACAGTTTCAAAGCTTCGGTTTCTTTGGAATTTGTTGCTAACTGATTTTCCAGTAAGAATCGTTTTATCTTGTGCATGGTGGTGCCTCCAAATTTGGTATGCTCTTCATATTTGTGATCTGAAAAAGCCTTTTCCATTACTCACGTGGTATTGGGTAACCTTCATTTATCCACAGTAGAACGAGATAGCTGCTGCTTCCTCAACATTGTAGACTTGTCCTCTTTTTGTTTGACGAAGTCAATTTTTGCACAAGTGTTTGAGGAAGTAGAGTGTAATTGTATGACCTTAAATCATCTCAAGACGGTCTTTTGAAGGCGCCACTATCTCAGGGTATCTCTTGGTACGTATTTTGTTCTTATTAGGTGTGGAAAAATCCTTTCTGGTAAAGAACAGAGATATTACTATCTCAAAAGCGGTAGTAGTAGTGCCGGAGGTTAGAAATTGGTGTGCGGTGCACTACTAGTTTGAACGATTACCGAGTTTTTTGTTGTTCGTAGTGGTCAGGTCGGCATTGAGGTTCCATTGTTGTGACCGTTGATCGTTTTAATTGAACGAATTACTTTTACTTACGTAGCGGATACTGTTTTCTTCTAGGTCCGCGTTCCACACGCAAATGGGACACCCGCTGGAGTTGCGCCAAATCCGAGACAAGACGAGGATGATTTCGCGAATGAGACCCTCTTTTTCGAACGAAACCGCATCAAACAGTTACAGGATGAGCGTGTGCACATTCAGAAGAAAACATTCACGAAGTGGTGCAATTCTTTTCTAAATCGGGTAAGTGCAATATTTTTATACACGTTCGGCTTCTTTCAAGTGTTAAAATGTTTGTAAACCCAAGTTCTACGATAGGGTACGTCTTGTTCTGATATACTCTTTAACGCGGGACAATGTTCCGGGAAAATTTTTTGTGAAAATAACATGGGGAAATGGGAATTTGAAAGATTGTAATTTTGAGAAATACAATAAAGAAGGCGTTTATAGTTTTAGCAGAGTAGTTATTCCTATGTGGTGATATACTGTTCTGATCAGAAACTAAATATCTGAGTGTGGACCCTAGCACCTTGTTTTTCTCATTTCTGGTAGCGAGTGTTTAATATTACGGCTAAGAGTGGATGAAACGTGCGAAGGCGTTGGCCTACAGCATTCCTGATAGATGGCGCAGGCGATATGCTCGAATGGCGACACATTTTTTTGCGTAACGCATGCGGACATATGGCCTTATTATTTGTCGCAACGATGATGCATTTTATGACTAGCTGCACAGAGATTTGTAGTGGTAAAGAAAATGGCACTTGTCTATAATAGCTAGTGAAAGCAGCGGAGTTTGATGGGGATTTTTCCAAGGGTTGTGTAAGGGAATATTACTGTGGGAAATAGCATAGGATTCCAAAGACAAAATTCCATTTTGTCGCTTCTAATTTGGTCCTGTTAACCTAATAGTGTAAGCACAATTTTTTATGTGTGTCCTCTATCACAGTCTTCATATCAGTGTACATATTGCAGGTTTTCTGATAGACTGTGATATGTGCCTGGGAGATGGTAGGAATAGTTGGTTTGCGTAGTGGTTTGTGATATGTGGGTTGTAGTAGTGTTGCAATGTGATCAGCATTTCTTAAACATAGGGTGGGTATATAAGTGTGTTAGAAGTGGGTTAAATTAACCATGCATGGAATGGAATTTTTCTTCTGGAATGTTATTTGGTTTGAGTAGTGGCGTCGCTACTGTAGATATCCTCTCATGTCAAGTTTTGGCTTGAAGTAGCGCGCTAATCTGTCCTTTCCGTCTGTGTAAGGCAAAATTGTAGCCACTTCTCATTTTCGAAATCTACAGAAGAAGAAAGATACTTTTCTTATGTGGTCGATGGTTACCTGTTTGCTGATATTCAATCGAACTTATACCACTTAAGCACTTAGTTCTTTGAATTTGGTTACGAAGCTGAGTAATTAAAAATGAGAGAAGTTAATCGTAGTCACAATCTTAACCTTTTTATTTACTGCCTATTCTTTTTAACGTCAGGGTATTTGCGAAATATAACTACTATAATGCTGAGATATTTGTAAAATTCCGAACAATATATCAAATATCTCAATATGCAATACATGTAAGATTGTGACTATAACTATAACCTCAGCTAAACTGGATTCAATGCTGATTTGGGCTCCCTAGATCAATCTCGTTGACGGTTGATTGCTGACGGCACTGATCGATAGAACTAGCTGAGAAGCAGGCGAAACGAAGGACCCGCATGGTGTGGTGGTGAACGCGTTACTACCCGGAAAGGACAATAGCGCGTTCGTTCCCCACCGCAAACACCTGTTGTCCGGAGTTCAGCAGATATCTCAGCATTATAGAAGTTAATCGTAGTTTTCGATTAGGATAATAAGTTTGCTAGTTGTGGATTTCAAGTGGTTAGAGTAGATTTTGATCAAACACTTGTACCTTCTATTCCTAAGTAGATAATTGCGGTCATCTTTCCACGTGTCATTTATTGTATGTAGACTACAAGAACTGACAGCTCTTTCATGATTCCCTAAACCGACTTTCTATTAATGTCGATACTGATTGACTCCCATTTAGTCCCCATAACTCGTTAACCAATGTAATAGGCTTTTCATGTCAGTGATCTACTTTAACGTCTTAGTTGTTTCTATCCGATAGCACTTATAGAGGTAGAAGTTTGGACTTGTAATGTGGCATATCCTGGTGTTAGTGTGGTAGATTAATATAGGCGAGTGCTTTGCTATCACACTGTTTGTTGGTGACTCTTACGTACCGTTAGCACTTGAATTGGCTGATAACTCTCATAGGTATCATCATGGACAGGTGTAGTTGGACGAAAATTTCAAAGTTTAAAACTCTCAAAAGATACTGAACGATTGCACGTTCGAGGAAGTCGAGTACTGTTTTGGAGAAATTACCACTTAGGAACATCGGCGTTCTTTTTTTTTTTGATTTTGGTGTTCTATCTAAGGTGTTATAATTGTGGAATTGGAATTGAGTCGGTGTTATTTAACGATGGTTTTATCTTAATTTCATCAAAAATGTTGTCTATTTTAGGCGAGGTTGGAAGTTGTTGATCTCTTCGTTGATTTTGGTGATGGTGTGTTACTCATGAAGCTTCTTGAAATCATATCTGGAGAAAAACTAGGAAAGCCGAACAGGTAGTTTCCACTTCACTCGAGTGTTGTCAGTGGTAGTTTCTGGAAGTTCGTTGTGTTTAGAGGCCGTATGCGAGTGCAGAAAATTGAGAATCTCAACAAGGTCTTGGATTTTTTGAAGAAAAAGAAGATCCAGGCACGTTGTGTTTAACTGAAACATTAGTTCTCCTTTACATGCTTTAATTGCCCAAAAGTCGAAAAAGCACTTTAGTGCAAATGCCTATGCCAAATAGTTTTCATTTGTATTAGTTATAGCCCCATTAGTCATCGGGTGGATGGATTAGGCTTCGCTTATGCGTCTTCGTTTTGATGCTCTTTATTGCTTTCTCTTGTTGGCGAGAAGGTCATTGTGGACAATCCGTCAGGCTTTTTGAGGCTAGATTTACTTCTAGTTTACCCAAAAACTTGGAAACACTCCAACTGTTGTGAAATATTAAACCTATTAGAGGTTCGCTTATTCCAGAAATCTAACTTCACAATATATTTCCCGCATAAGGCTGCATAAATTGAATACGAATGAAAATTGGTTCCAAATGTAAATGCCTGTTTTTGCTCCTCAGTTTGAGCAATGACTCTATTGAAAAAGAATGATTTTTAAGGTGTCGTTAGTAGAATTACGATTCAACTTTGCCCTTTACTTAGTTCACATACATATTTACTTAAGAGCTCCATAACTTGTCTATTTAAAGACCTCTTATGGAAATGTAACTGGTCATGAAATTCATATATATATACATATATATACGTATATATACATATATACGTGTATATATATACATATACATATACATATACACATACACGTAGTATTTACTCGTCAATGGTTTGCTAAATATTTTCTAGCTTGAAAATATTGGAGCTGAAGACATTTTGGATAGGAATGAGCGTCTCATTCTTGGTCTGATTTGGACGATTATCCTTCGTTTCCAAATCGACACAATAGTGATTGAGGTCTGTTGTTTTCAGTAAATGGAGTCTTGAGCTCTAAATGCTTATTTTGTACTTGTTTTTATTTCCTGGTTGTATTGCATTTATAATCACTTGTGTTCTTTTGTGTATGCAACTAAGTTTGATTGAGGTCTTCTATTCACAGTTAGAAGACAGTTACTTTAAAGGATGAAGAAGAGCGAGGTGAACGTAAACATGCCAAAGATGCACTTCTGTTATGGTGTCAACGAAAAACGACTGGCTACCCCAACGTCAGGGTAGAGAACTTTACGACAAGTTGGCGGAATGGTCTCGCCTTCAATGCTCTTATTCATGCACATAGGTATATTTAAAAACCAATGGTTCAGTTTGTAATTACAATGTCTTCATCCATTGTCGGTTTTCTTCATGTTTTCCTTTTGATTTATCGTAGATAATTGGATGCTTTAGACCGGAGTTGGTGAACTTCAATGCACTGAATCCTAATGATCATATTGGGAATCTCAATAACGCTTTCGATATTGCTGAGAAAAAATTGGAAATCGCGGTTTGTTATTTCGCTATTCTATCTTGACAACTTTTTGAAAGAAATTTCTCGATGTGGAAATTCATAGTAACGACGAGTAAATTTCTCGTTTGCACTATGAACTTGCAGCTGTCTACGCTTAGCTTTATGAGCGTTATATCTTTCAGCGTCTGCTCGATGCTGAAGATGTTGATGCATCTCGTCCAGATGAGAAGTCCATCATCACATACGTATCACTATATTATCATCACTTCGCAAAGCAAAAGACGGAGTTAACAGGAGCTCGTCGAGTAGCCAACGTGGGTCGTTATGTTGTTACTAATCTTTCGTTTGGAAATTCATGTTTCTTATTGTCTTTTTGTTTGCAGTTCTCCTTGAAGTGAATATCCAGTCTTCGGAAGTCGTTAACACTTTTTTGTCCTAATTGCTGTTAGTGAAAATAACGGTTAAGATATGGAAATAATCGACCATATTATATGTTTTATATTCCAGTTTACGAGTAACAAAATAAATCTAGGTGCTGTTTAAGCAAATTAAGTATTTTTCTTTATAGATTGTTGGAAAATTGATTAACAGCGATACCATGGAAGAAGATTATGGCCATATTTCGTCGGACATTTTGAAATGGATTTATGAGACAATCAAACAGCTTGAGAATAGGCGGTCTGGTTCTTTTTCTAACTGTGTTTTTTTATTGTATGTTTTGGTGCAATGTTTGGATATTGGTTGCATTTGCTATAAATATACAGGTTTCCCAACTCTCTGCATGGCATGAGAGAAGAGCTCGGCAGGTTTAATCAATTCCGCACGGTTGAGAAGCCCCCGAAGTGAGTTTTTTTAAAAGGTTTTTCAAAATACCTTTTAAAAAAAATTAAAAAAAAAACGAAAAAAATCAAAATGGTTGTTGTCTGAGATTTTAGCTTGGATAAAATTCGCGGACTGTGGAGTTTATCCACAGATATTTGTCTTTTTAAGCTGAATGTCTTTTAGGGAAAGAATATTGTAGTAAATTAGAGACAATAGTATTAAACTTTAGGAAATACTTTATAAAATACTGATCCATATATATTCATACAACATTTTGCCGTGTCATTTCTAAACCAAAGTTTGCTAAAGATTTTTCTCTTAACTTTGATCTTACAGGTATAAAGAGAAAGGAGAACTCGAAGCCTTGTTCTTTACCATTCAAACAAAAAGAAAGGCTATGGGTAGAAAGCAGTATGCTCCTTCTCAAGGTATTTCAGATTATTATAATTGCTTTCTGTTACGGTGTCTGAATAATTAGTGTTCTTCTCTAAGAGTCTTAGTCTAGGGTTGTTCATGCATGATATTGAATCGGCTTGGGAGAAACTGGATCGTGCAGAGAATGACCGTCAGTTAGCAATTATCGCGGAATTACAGAGGTATTCAAGCATTAGTTATCCATATATATTTTTCCTTAATTTGCGCTCTTGTATATTCCGTTTAATTGTAGACAGGAGCGCATTGAACAACTAGCGCAGCGTTTCCACAAAAAGGCCAATCTAAGAGAGGTTTGGTTGCTTTGTGTTACTTTGGAAATGTCTCTCTTTCTCTATTACCAACACACCGTTGTATTTTTAGAGCTGGATAAGGAATGTTCAAATAGTTCTGGAAGAAATGGATCATGGCAGAACAGCGGCTGAAGTGGAAAAGTCGTTGAAAAAACAGCAAGCCATTGCGAATGATATTCTTGCGAGGGTTTGTTGAGAAATTCTTTGATACTTTTGTTAACAATGGAGATAAGTAGATCTTGAAGGTGCAACATCATTTTTTTTGTGCATATGTGTCGCAAAGGTATAGACCCAGTTTATGGGAATTTAGTATTGTCATCGACTGATAAAATGAAAACAGCGTCTACTTATAGGAAGGACGATTCAAACTCCTCACTTCGATGTGTACCGATCTATGCAATGAGCGATATCACGAGAGTGATAAGATTCGCGCTCGTGAGAGAGATATTATTGAAAGGTGGGCCTTGAGATTTGGTGTTTTCGGAATTAGCATGATATGAATATACCCCAAGGCTCTTTATTGTATAAATCACGCTTTACTGGTTACAGGAGCAATAATATTTTGAAAACATAAGGCGATTCAGGTTTAGTAGCGATTGTAAAAAGCATGGCATTAAAATTCAGCAGTTCATTTCTGTGTTGTGAATTTTGTATTGGGGCACAGGTTTTTTCGCTATTAATTGTAGATTCGTGCCAGATGTTAGAAAAGGAGTACTGTTATGAACTTTAACACTCGTCATCTTGTATTTTTATATACAACTCGTTAAGGTGGACACACTTATTGAGCTTACTTGAGCAGCGTCGCAAGTCGCTCATGGGTTTAAACGACCTTATGACCCTTCTACGAGATATTGACACGCTAGCTAGTGAGCTGAAGCATCTGGAGGTCTGTATAAAATTTTTAGTAGTTAGCGAACCTTTTGACAATTTTCTTCAATGTTTCTCCTTGTAGCCGGTAGTTCGAAACCGTGATGTAGGAAAGCATCTGCTTGGTGTAGAGGATTTACTAGGGAAGCATGAGCTAATTGAAAATCAGGTTTGCACTTTGATCGTATTGTTTATCAGACTCAGTTCAGTTTAAAGCAGTACATGTTGTCTTGCATAAGGTTTTAGGTGAATGCTCAAGGAACTTGGTTGACAAATGTTACAAATCAAGCTAATAAATACATCCGAAACAAGGGTGAACAATATGATGTGTTACAACGTAAGCTTGATGACGTCGCTGCCCAGTATTATTCGTGAGTGGAATAAAGCGTTTTTTAATTACTCGTTTAAAATACTTAGGTAACTTGTGAATATTTCAGTTTGGTTGATCTTTGCCGTCAAAGGCGCTTCAATCTGGACAAAGCTCGTGCGTTATATCAGTTTGTCCAGGATCACGAGGAGGAGTTGTCGTGGTTAAATGAGAAAGAAGCACTTTGTCGTCGTGCATTAGCGAATGGTGACGTTGCAGCAGTGCAGCAGACGACAATTTTGCATAAGGTGCGTTGTAGAATGTCCGGTAGAACAAATTTTACCATTGCACATACCTATCCAACTTTGGGAGTTCTACGAAATATGCCACAAACTATACGTATTGTGTGTTTGTCCTCTCCGTTATACATCACTCTACTTACCTGTAATCCATTTTGTCTCTTAGGGGTTATTGTCACTTCATGTTAGTATTCTCAACCTCCAATCACTCCAAAAGAGAGTCATTTTTGTGCAAGTTAGATGCGTTATATGTTGGTGGAAGTGGTCCACAATGGACAGTGTGTCTACCAAGGTTTTGTGGAATACTTAAATGCTGGTATAGTATAGAGCACTCAATACAATGGAAAACTGAAACATAGTTCAATATTGGAAAATTTAAAACATGAATGTAAACACTGTTCTTTTCTTCTCGTCCACAGTGAGTTTCTTTCTCAACATACACTTCTCGGTAGGAAGAAGAAATTGGAATTTGTCACTGGGCATGGAAATCATGTATTGACAAAAAAGTGTGGAGGTCAATCACATCTTCACTAGTGAAGATGGTGCCTACTTGACATATCCGTACTCCCATCATCTGTACTAGCTCTGATCATTGTCTTCGTCCGAAGGTCAATCACGAGTAAGTAAACTTTTGTTGTAGCCTAAAAGGTGAGGAACACGTGTAAGCTAGGGTCTGGGCATCATTGAACTTGAGCGTTTTGGATTGTTAAACTTTATTCCTAGCAATTCCTCAGTGAAATGCGATCGATGGAGATTAATAAGCTATAAGGAATAGCTGCTTTAGTAGACGGTTAGAATTAAGGTGGAGCAAGAGACAGCGTTTAACTTCTTGATGTTCTCACACAGGATTTACTACGAGGAGTAAGGATGAAAATGCAGTTCTATGAGAAATTAACCAACTTGTATACCGTTTTGCACCATTCCACCAATATATCATTCAAGTGCTCATAAGACATATCCGGTTAAGTTAAGAATAGAACTATCCACATAAGGCACTGCCGACCTTATGACGTGGAAGAGAATGGCCGAATATTTTCCAAATTGTTTTGTCCTGTAACGTTCTTAATCAACACTAAAATTCTTGCTTAGAAAAATAAAACTCATGCGGAATCATTCGTGTATAGCAGGAGTTGCGACGAAGATCGTTGTAAATGATGCAGTTCCATGATGACATTGCGATACATTTTCGTCGAGCTAAAAACTGCGAATCATACGCACTTTTGGCGACCTATATGATAGATTATATTAAAGTGGAAAGAATACTAAATCAATGGAAGATTTTCATGGGTGTCCTAATCCAGCTCAAGATTGGTGACTAAAAAGACCATAACCAATACCGATTAATTTGCCTGTTCAGTGTGCTTTGCATAGTTTTCATGATGGATCAATCCCAATCAGTTGAATAAGCGAGAATTTGGCAAGGATTGTGCTGTATGGGTCAGACAACGTCGAAGAGAGTACCAGCATGCCAGCTTATATCTACCAAGGAGTAGACTTTTCCTTCATAAAAACCTAAGGTTACTGTTGTTGCACTGTACCACTTAAATGTAACTATTCCATCGATGCCGTGTCATATCTGTCAGGGGGTCTAATCGTGCTGTCAGTGGCTGCATCACACTGGGTAATTAGATCTTTGGACGAGAATGTAAATGATGTAAACAATGAATGAAATTTCATGGGAACATTCATCTCGTTTACTTGATGAAAAGTAGCAGTGAAGTAGTGGAGATGGTGGGGAAAGCTCAGTGACATAAAGAAACACTAGAATTGTGGATGGATAGGAAAGAATTCAGTTATTGGGAAAACAATGGCATAATGAAAAGCGGTTGACGATAGGTAACATGCCTATCACGGAGGTGCATCTTTTTATACGTGGGACGTTCAACTAACATTAGTAAGCGGCACGAAAGCCATAGAAAAATTAGAGCATAAGGTTTGGACCACATATTTATGCCATTGACTATTTGAGAAATTGTGTTCCTCTTAACTATTTTATTTACTGCCTATTCTTTTTAACGGCAGGGTATTTTGCGAAATATAACTATTATAATGCTGAGATATTTGCCAAACTCCGGACCGCAGGTGCTTGCGGAGAGGCAGGCGAAACGAAAGACGCGAATGGTGTGGTGGTGAACGCGTTACTCCCCGGAAAGGACAATAGCGCGTTCGTTCCCTACCGCAAGCACCTGTGTTCGTCTGTTCAACAGAACATTCTTCCGAATATTGTGCTATTCAACTGAGTTCAGCCGCTATCCAACCTATGATTAGTAATCTTGAGCACCAATAATAGTGCTCTAGATTGATGTCTTTGGATATGTAAACACTCTACAAACCATCACAGCAAACTATTTTGGAGTCTATAGCTTTAAAAAAAACCTCTCATCTTCAAGTTATAAGAGAATATTCACAAGATCTAAACAATAGGCGAATTCTGCAATCAAAACGAGAAATATACGAAAAGGGCGGCGAAGTGAACTCCAAGAGCTTGCAAACGTCTTCCAAGTCAAGAATCTGCCAGATGGACATTTCCACATCAACCACTAGTATTCACGTTTGATTAGTATTTGTGGAGTCCGAAATAATATTCACAGAGACCTTCATGTCTGAATCAGAACAACTCCATAGATGCCGATTGTAAGGGAACGTAGTCAATATCAGTGTTGCATACTTTAATCCGTTGGCGTTATTTCATTTTATTTTCATTTCCTTATCAGTAATCAACGGATATATCCAGAATGCGGAAACAGAAATGCAGTCGCATTGGGCACGAACTAAGGATATGATGGCTGCTGGAGAGCGTCTCATTGAGAACGGTCAGTCGAAAGAAGATATTCAGGTAAAGTTCTTATTTTATTGTTGTATAGTGTTGAGTGAGTTTTTTTTCATTTTGAAGTGTTAAGGTTGACGCTTAAAAGTCAGTCGAACTCAAAATCTCTTAACTTCTTAACTCTTTTATTTACTGCCTTTTTCTTCTTAATGGCAGGGTATGTTGTGAAATATCTCAGCACTTCATTGAAAAATGCTTTGTTCTGTGAATGCAAGGAAGGAAAGGAATGTATTTGTTCATTTAAGAGACGCATTCAAGCTATGCAGCATGGTTGGGAACGTCTTCGTGCAGCTCATCAAGCTCTTGGACAGTGGCTTAGTGAAGCCAAGCAAGCTCAGCAATATTTCCAAGTAAGTTTGCTGGTTTTCTTATGTACTTCCCGTGTACTGTTACTCTGCAATAAGTCCAGCGTCTTTGATGTTTTGTTTAAGTTCAATCTGGGAGGAATCCGTAGCATTCGAACTTTCGAATCCAATCTTTCAAATTTAATTAGGATGCTAACGAAGCAGAATCATGGATACGTGAAAAGATGCCTCTAGTGAAAAGCGATGATCTTGGTCGTGACGAAGGTGCTGCGGAGTCATTGCTACAGAGACATTCACGTCTTGAGGAGGAAATTCATGCGTATAGGTTTGTTGATAGCGGCTACAAAACCGTACAAAGTAAGGAATAGAGTGATCTTCACTGGGATTCGATAATCTCAGTATGTTTACATTCATATATTTGACAAATAAAGGCACCGATGCTTAACTATTGTTTACTATTTTAGTCTTGGGATGTTTTACACTTCTTCCAGAGCCGATATTGTGCGACTTGAAGAGATGAGTCAACAACTCGCTAATAGTTCGTTCCACAGTGCTAATACAAGCTCGCATGAGGTTGTGTTATACTACTATTTTGTTCGAAAAGCATTTTTCATTGGCATGAACGGAGCTTTATAGACAGAGGAAGTATGCGTTCCACAGATTGAAATGCTTTACAAGTATGAAGGGAATGGCATGTCAGTGGTGAAAGGTGAAATACTAGCGCTATTAGAGCAATCTACTTCTGAGTGGTGGCGTGTTTTAAAACAAGATGGTACTGAAGGTTTTGTGCCAACTAATTACTGCCGAAAAGTACCAGGTGAAACGGTAGGCTAAATTTTTAGTTAGTTGCTTTTCACTCATATTATTAACACATAATGGATGATGTGAATTACTTTCGCTTATAGTATCTCTTTCACTTTGCTCGACAATAGTTTTCCCTTTTAATCAAAACCCTAGTCGGCGGCCGATACGTAGTGTTTTAAATGTACGTATGCCAGAAAATATCTCCGCTATTAAACTTTAAGTAAGCATAGCTGAGTTCATAATGTGCTTCATCAGCTTGAATTAAAAACTGTTTGGAATCTATAAATCTTTGAATATAATATACTAGTTTCTTTGCTTTGTAGCCGTAGAGTCTAGATTTTTTCTGTCAATAAGTTTTTTTTTTTCGGCAAAGCTAATATCTTGAAGACCAAAGCGAACAATGGTGATCGCGTAGAACAAAAGGCAGTGCTATCTCTAATGTAGCATTATTGTTTCTGACAGTTGCACTTGCGTCAAGAACTTCGAAGTAATAAAATATCTTATTGTATGTTTAAATTTTGTACAACTTCAAAATTAGAGCAACGTTTTAGTAAAGTTATATATGCCCGTATATACTTTCAGAGCGATAAATCTAAGTGTTCATAGTTCCCAGGATCGACTTTCTCTTAACCTCAGCATTGGAATATGAATGTGTCGTTTTCTTGTTCAGCAATGGCGAGGTTTTTAAACAGCATACATTTACTTCCATAAAAAACAATACAATACAACACTAGCTGACGTTTTGGCAGTACCGCCTTCTTCAGAGCCTGGAAAGGTTTACAATTTACTTTTTATTTTTTACGATAATTTACGATATACAATTTACTAGGCCACATCGGCCCAAGTCACGAAAAAGCGGCTCTGAAGAAGGCGATACTGCCGAAACGTCAGCTAGCGTTGTATTGTATTGTGTTTTTTATGGAACTAAGTGTTTATGTTTATCACGATATCGCGACCATCAAATACTCTAATTGTCGAGATCAAAATCACTCGTTGTCCATTACGTGTTAACGTAATTTAAACATTTTTGAACTCACTTTGATGGTTGTAGCACTACAATTTTGGAGTGAAAATGGTTCTACCCAAGTACATCAGTTTTTTCTAGGTTACTGTGACTCAAACAACCCAAATAACCAAGCCATCTAAAGACGTCGTGGATAGCAGACGTGCGATAATTGATCGTCAGAAAATGATATCGTCCGATTACCGACAGCTGAATAATTTAGCGGAGGTCCGGCGCCGTCTTCTTTCTGACAATATAAAGCTTATGAGGTAATATGTTGTAGTTTTACCGTGGTTGTTAAAATCTACATCGTCCCAAAATCAGGAAATTATTCTTGTCGGTCTTCTAAGAAAGAAAACTTTCTTTTTAAGACATGGCCAAAAGATACCAGGTGAAATCTGTGACATTGGTTAATTTTGTAATAATGAGCCACCATACTACGTCCGGTTTTTGAGTTGTATGAAGCAACATGACAAACCTCCCAACCGTTTACTGCCTCATCGTGGATGGTAGGTGTTCCTGGGTGTTGGGCTGCGATGTTAACCCCCAACAGGATCACTAAAGCTATGAGTCCGACGTGTCCATCAGGAAGCTCAGCTAAGGCTAAACCAATATCAGGATCCACCACCGTCATGGTACTAAACTAGTTGCATAGTGGCATATTATCCTCTGATTTGACTAAGTTGACCTCAGAACTCCGGGAATCCACAATAGCCGAGCCAGCAAAACTCCAAAAAAATTGAAATTGTGCTGGAGCAATTGGGGAATTCTCCAAGTGGTAAGTAATGATGTGATTTACAAGGTCATCCTACAAAATAGAAATTGTTTTATCCTTGGCAGAGCTGGCTGTTAAATAACGTTCCAGACAGATACGGGGAGCCTAGTTGATCCAGTGGTTAATATTGACGGGATGTTAGTGGTGAATGTATTTTTGGCATTTATGCTTTATTACACTGTATAACATCTTTAAGTGTTTTGTTTGAAAGAATAGAACCCTAGAAGGGGGAGGACATAGTTCTCCTATGTTTGATTTAATTCTTACTTATTCTTGTGGTGTATGATTATCTAGCTTACGTTATTGTTAAGGTTCTATCGTGAATGCAACGAATTCGAGGGATGGGTCCGTGAGACGGAGGCTACACTTGCGGACGAACCGTCCGTGGAGCATGTGAAAGCATTCCGTAAGAAATTTGATCGACTTGAGGCAGACATGAAGGCAATCGGTGGGACGCAACTTAAGCACATAAACACGATGGCGGACGAATTAATTGGCGAAGGGCATAGTCAGTCCAGGCAGATCGAGACACGACAAAGGAAGGTAAACAAATTGTCTGACATAAGCTCGAATTTCTGTTGCAGTAAAGGTTTTAGGCATAGTGTATTCGTGTACTTAGTCCTTCCAAGCCGTGCAAACTTTGTCGGGGAACCGAACCGCTGTTTCCTAATATTTACTTACTGTTCATGTATTGTAGCTATTGAATGCTATAGCAAACCTATGCTTACGTTCAGGTTAATGCTCTTTGGGATGAACTAGAACGCTTGCGTGCGAAACGAGCGGCAAAACTCGAGACAACCGAACGAGTTGCAGACTTTGAGTCATCTTGCGAGGATGCAAGGGCATGGATGCAGGTAAGTAGGAGGTTATGTTGTAACTTATTGGATTCCATTCGCTCTTTTAAAACTAAAGTTTTCGTGGTATAGCACCTGTGCTATCGATAACCATGTTTATAATGGGGCATAGGAATGTCACTGTTTTAGGGGAAATTTGATCTCCTGGATAGAAATCCAAATGACTTGAAGAGTCTGCAAAACTTGGAGCGTGACTTGAAACCTCTTGAAGATAAGATCCTCTATTTGGAGAAACTTGCAGCCGAGGTATTGTTAGAAATATTTCACTTTGTTTTGCTAAAAAACAAAACATTTCCATAAGATTCTTTGATTAAGGTGAAGAAGAAGAATCCAGAAGAAGCTGCCGCCATTGGACATCAGATCTCAGAGCTTCGTGCTCTGCATGCAGATCTTTTGCGTAGGGCTCATGAGAAGATTAAAATTGCTGAGCAATCTCAAGGTTCATTACTAGTAATAGCATTGCGTTTGTTTTTAGCGAATTCGTTTGTTTTGAATATTATACATTCTTCATTTTGTAGTTTTATTTTTTTGAATAACTTTCTTAGCTATTCACAAATTTTGACTGTTTGCTGGTTCAGGGCAGGAAATGTTTGAGACAGCGTTGAAGGATTCTCTCATCTGGGTCGACCGTACCAAGAAAGCTCTTGCTGATGACGTTCGTGCTTTGGATGTTCAACAAGCGGAGGAGCTCCTAAAGAAACACTATGAACTTGGTGAAGAAATCAAGGACAAGAAATATGAGGTACATCCTGACAACAATTCGTTAAATTTAGGTCCATCAACATTTGTCTCCTGATTCCACCTTTCACTTTTTTATAAAATATTCCCAATAGTTGATTCAAGCTTTATTCTTGGTTTATCTAGGTGGACTATGTGATGGAGTTGGGGCGTCGTTTGCTTGATAAGAATCCTTGTCTTTGCGAAGTCGAAGCTCAGCTGCAACATCTTGTTTTGGAAATAAATGGTGTGAAGGTGTGTCTTTAACCAAGTCGTTACGGTGCTTGTTTTTTAATGACTATCGACAATTTTTCACTAACTAGAATTTATAAGTTCTATGGTATTTAAGATACTTATATAGAGGTCTCACACTGTCGCTGAAAGGGTATATAGCATTTTTGTGATTGTTGTAATTTCAATTTTTTTAAAACTAAAGGAGATCAATCAGCGCTGTGAAAGTTCATGCGGTGTGTAAGTTTAATCCAATCGGTGAAGTTAGGAATGTATTAAACATTAAACCAAATGATTTGGATGATTTAAAAACGCTTGCTTACATATGAAAGACACGTGAATTTGAAAGTTAAGGAGCGCCTGTTTAAAATTTATGAAGTGCATATCGAGACATTTTTACGGTAGTGAACCCGGCTCAGATTTCATCTATAACTCTTTTTTAGGATATGTATAGGTTGCGCGACGCTCAGCTAAAAGAGCAGCTGGACCTACAGTTGTTCAATCGTGAAGCGGAACGAATCGACGCTACCACGAAGGGTCATGAGGCTTTCCTTGACTATGCTGATTTAGGAGTGAGTGTAACATGTAACATTTTTTGCTATTTCGCATATTAATCCTAGTTTACTTAGCTGTTTTGAAGAGGAAGGAAGTAGGTACTGTTGTCTGGTTGTAATGATTTTTTCGATCACATTGATTTAGGACTCGGTAGAATCTGTTGAGAATCTGCTAAAACGTCACAAAGACTTAGAAGCAAAGCTTGATGCTCAAGAGGGACGTTTGATTGCGTTTTCTAGAAATGCCGATGATCTTATTAGGAATCATCATTCTGAGAGTGCTTATATCGACAAGGTCAGAATTCATAATTGATATAGGCATAGAATCCAGTTCGTTATTGTTATGATCGCCTTTTACTTTTTTACTTTAAAGCTAATTTCTTCATAATTCAGCAAGTACATAGAACTGGTTTACTTTAGCGACGTGAAGATGTGTTGGCGCGTCGCGTGGCAGTCCGCCGAATGGCTGCCCAGCGTCGGGCGTGTTTGGAGGCTTCACTTGAATATCAGAACATGAATAGAGATTCAGAAGAGATGATCTCGTGGATTCATGATAAGAGGAAGGTCTGTGAAGAAATAATATTGTGGTCTAGGATAAGGAAAACTGTAGCTAAAAAGTTACCACCTTTATCGTTCGTAATCTTGCTAATCATTTGGTGGCTCATACGAGTAGAAACTCTGCTTGTCCATGTCCCTTAAACATGGGAAGGAGGGCTCTGCAGTAGGTGTGTTCGTAGAGAATAAAGTTTCGAGCTTTCCCAGTGTAGGTGAAGGTAATTATATCCATGAACATATGCCTGAATGAATGATAGAAGGCTGATACATAGATTCCACGCATATTGTTGGTGTAGTTTTTCAGCTACTGTCTATAACTCTTGATAACTTGAGGGGTTGAGGAACTGTGAGCCTGTACTCATACAATCGACTTTTCTTACTTTCGCTATGAGGATATGTTTCCACATTTTCTTAAAATTTGTGTCAGTCTCAAATTAAAAAAGAGTGTGCGAATTTTAATTAGCTAACTTCAAGGGCTCAGCTGGGAACATCTATTTTGAGGCCCCTGATATTCTGCTTGATGGAGTCCAATTTTGGTTACTTAACCGTCCAAGAGATACGATCCCTGATACGAAAGCGAAAATATCCAGTATACAATTTCTGAGCTCGTTGAACTAAATTTGGTGTAATAAGAAAATTCATGCTTTTTTAACAAAGGTCTGTAGAGATTTCTTGGTATTAATTTGAGAGTCCAAGCTACTTTCGAATACACTTCTATTTTAATCAATGCATGCACCCTAGGATGTGTTACACTCATTCTTTATAGAACCTTTATAGTATTTTCTTTCAGCTCGCGAACGATGAGTCACATCGGGACCTTACTTCAATCGCGAACAAGCTGCTGAAACACGAAGCCTTCGAAGCAGAAGTTGGAGCTAATTCGTCCAGAGTTACTCAAATCAACAGGGTGAGAGAGAATACAAATTCTTACCTCTATGGAATATTGCATTTATTGTCAAACTCATCGGCAGCGTTACTGTGAAATATGGTATGAATGTTGTTTGTGTGTGTTTAAAACTGTTTTTAGGTCGGTACGACTCTAATAAGTCAAAAGCACTATGAGTCTGTGAATATTGATCGTATTCTGAAACGGCTGAATTCCGAATGGGCGGAATTACGAGATGCAGTTGGCCGTAAAGGTGAAAAACTTCGTCAAGCCGCGGACCAGAAGGTTGATGCCGATTTTTTCGTCGGTGGTTATTTTTAATTTTATTTGATTCTTATTTACATGTATTTCACAGGGCCTGAATCGTGTTCTCGAAGATGCTCACGCTAAATTAGATGAGTTGGAGACTGCACTCAAGTCTGATGATCTCGGATCCGATCTCAGATCGGTAAAAGACTTGATACAAAAACACTCCGTTCTAGAACAAGAAATGGGTTTGTATGAAAAAAGAGTAAGTTGGATTTTGGTAACTTCCTGAAAAGCAGTTGAACTAGTCTAATAGGAATTTGTTGTTTTCAGCTTGCAGACATCTATAACCGTGGTCGAAAAATGGCTGAGGAGGGTCACTTTGATTCTGAAAAAATAAATCACACTGTTAGTGCGTTACTAAAACGGTGAGCGTTTATTTCTTATATAAGGTACTCAGCGTATCAATGTCCGATTTCAATCCGTATTTTTAAAGTGGCATGTCTTAACTTAGAATGAGCTTTATTAGTCGAAATAACAACCACTCAAAGTTTCTTAAGTTTGCAATCTACATCTAATTTGCACTGTTTAAAAATTTAATTTAGATTATGAATGAGAAACAAGTTTATATTTGTTGGTTGCTTAAAATTATGGACTTCTGGTGGCAATAAAGTCGGTGGAGGCAGTTTCAGCCTCGGTTTTGTTTCTGAAGCTTTTCTCACACAGAAACTTGTCGAAATGCTTGAGGAATTGGTAGTCCTCGGTGGGCAAGAGGTCGGGCAGGTATGGTGGATGAGGCAGAGTTCATAATCCAGCGCGTTAAACTTTGGCAGCATCGGCAGTGCTCCATTTGGCTGGGCGTTATCATGGGGAAGAATTGATCCCTCTCTATTGATCTGTGCAGGGCGTAGCTGTTGAAGTTTCTAATGCAGTCCGTTGACATTCTGGACGTATTTCTTCGCCGTAATCGTTATATCTGGGTTGAGGAAGCTGTGATAGATTAAACCAATTGCGCACCGCGAAGCGATTACAGTGACCATTTTTGCCTCAATTTCTTTTGATTTTGAGAAGCGCAGCGAAGCTTCACCGCAGTCCGACCACTGAGCCTGTCGTTGCCGGTTAACTTAAACGATCCATTTTTTCGTCGCAAGTCACAATACGATCGGAATTGGGTCGCTTGGATTGCGTATAAGAAGAGCCGACGATACCTTTAAACGGTGATTTGGTGGATTATCATTCAATTGTACAAAACAAAGTGCATAGAATAAGCTTTGCGTTGAAGTGTAACAATACAGCGCTAGAAAAGACAACGTTGTTAAAACTTATACAAGAAAAAAGAAATTGCAAATTTCTGGGCAACTTTGTAATGTTGAACTGCATAGATTCATTACAGAATCTGGTGAATAAAAGTACTTCAGGTTTGAAAACCTCGAAGGTCCAGTATGCATCCGACGAGATGCACTCGAAGAATCCAGAAAATGGCACCAGCTTTCGTTCGATGTAGATTGTGAGCTTCAATGGATTTCAGAGAAGGTACAGGTTTTCTTCCATTTTGTTTTCTAGTACATCGTTTAGTGTTGTGTTTATGTTAATGAGTTTGACGACGTCTAATGTTAGGAGGAAACCAGTTAATTTTAGATTATGAACCAATAAAGACATATTCATTTTTAAAACTTGGTTAATGAATCTTAACGTTTTTGAGATTTATTTTGCCATTCATTTAGAAGCCTATAGCTTGCTCCGAAGACACTGGACGTAATCTGACCGAAGCACTAAACATGGTGAAGAAACAGGAGCAGCTAGAAGCAGAAATACAAAAGCATTCGGGTCATATTGAGGCGACAATAGCGCAAGGAGAATCACTTATCAGAGTGGGACATAAGGCAGCAGGACAAATAAAAACAAAATGCGAGCAGGTGGGCAGTTTTTCGTCTCAGATTTTCCTCAGTTGTATTCAGAACAGTTTCAAAAGATTGTTTACTTTGTGTGCGGCTAGAATGGAAGATTTATCCGACTAAGTCGCTTCTTAGAAGATCTGCACAAAATATGTAATAATGAGTGTCATTCATGTTCACTGACATCGTAGGAATGAAATAGAAGTTAAACAGTGCTTGGCATACCGAAGAAGTTCCATCATATTCTATAGGAATACTTTAGGGCAACATAAAGTAAGAGAGAAACTAGGAGTTACCAAACGGCGTCCAATGTGTAAAACGATTGTAGACTGTTTTGTGTCTAACTATCTTGTTTTTCCGCTGACAGCAAAACTAGTAAAGCTGTGAGCAGCTGATGAGTATTGCTCAACTAAGTTAACTATGGAGTATGCACCGGTTGCAATGTCACATGCCATATTTCGACATTTCTGTGAAGTACTTGTGGATAGTGGTTTTTTCTTTGCTTTAGTTAGTGTTTCTCTTATTGCAACATTTCAGTTCAGTGTTGAAAACGAATCGAATAAGGTAAAGAGTGTGTCGTGATGTTCATAAGTTTTCCATTTATAATTATATTGTCTTTATAGTTAATTCTTGCTGCTTGTTAGTGTGTCGTGAGTGCTTTCTCGAATGGCATTCTTGCTTCTAACAATAGCATATTTCCAGCTTGCTGGAGCGTGGGCTCATCTGGTACAGCTAGTCCGGAGGCGTCGCCAAGTTGTCGACTGGGGAGTGAAAGAGCAACAGTATATGTTTGATGCTGCAGAGGTTCTACATCATTGTTGTATTAACGTTACGCTGTTAACTGTGTTCTAACTATATATTGTGTATTTAGGTGGAGTCTTGGATGAATGAGAAGAGAACAGCTTTAGAATCCAGCAACTACGGTCAGGATGAAGACGCGGCTCAAAAGCTTCTTACGAAACATCGCGCTCTGCAAAAAGATATGCAAACATATCGACAGTGAATACTTCACACTCGTTTTATCTTAAATCATCTGTTTATGTCGTAGTTGTCGAAATCAAAAGTTTAATACTGTCAGATGGCTAGAAAAGCTATCGACCAAATGTTCTGAGCTGATAAACTCTCATCGTCCAAAGGTTGGACGCTTCACTGTTAGACAGGAGGAACTTGAAACTGAATTTGACCGACTTAGTCGATTGGGTTAGTTTGAAGTTTTGGAAATGTACTCAGTCTTTTCTACATCACAGAACCAGTGTGAGCCCGTCACATTGCGAATAATGAAGGACTGCATTATTAAAATCAGTGACAAATTTCGGCGAGCTCCAGAAGTATGCAACATGGGGTGTGGTATAGTATATTAGAAGCTCTTAATGTTTAGCAGAGGAACGTCGTCGCGCCCTAGAGGATAGTGTGCACTTGTTTGAGTATATGCGTGAAAGTGCTGATCTTGAACAATGGATAAATGAACAACTTCAAACGGCGATGAACGAAGAGTATGGAGACGACTATGAGCACTTTAAGGTGCTTCCCTACTTGTTAACCCTTCGTTTTTGAGCTACCTATGTTATTTTCATTGCAGGAATTGCAGTCGCGTTTCGAAGACTTTAAACAAAGCGTTAGAACTGGCAGTGAACGATTTGTGTCGTGTGAGGCTGCCGCCAATGCACTTCTAAGGAGAAATCCACCATTTGGAAGAGATATCCTGAAGAAACAAGAAAAACTAAGATCTGTAAGCGAATTCCTGCCAAGAGTTTGCGTTTGATTTCTCTGGGAAATTAAAGTTTCTTGGTAAAAATCATGTAGGACTAGTTTCAAAATGTTGTTTAACCAATTGCTTTTACGATTATTCCGAGTTCAGTAAATTAACAGGATTCCTTACATCGTTATGAAATACATTTCAGGTTTGGACACTGCTCTTAGACTACATTGAATCGCGCGAATCTAAATTAGCTGCTGCTGAAGAACTTCATCGTTTCAATCAAGATGTTCTGGAGCACGAGGAATGGGTTGCGGACAAGCGTGCAAATATTTCACGTGATAAGGGAAGGAACATGCAGCAGGTGCTGTCGTTCTAGAAATTGTCGGAAATAATAAATTAAGGAAGTGTATTCTGTGTTATATTCAGGCCAAATCACTAAGTCAGAAACATGAGACGCTTGAAAAGGAAGTCGCTGGGATGCAGTCTCAGTTGCAGGTTTTTACGTAACAGCATTTCTTTTTCGCCTAGATTTCGTTCGTCACACTTTACTTTTCACGTTAGTTCTCGCAAAAAATTTTTAACCGATGGAAGCCCATTTTACATGTGCACTGCAACAGCTTCATTTATGTGATTTTAGAGTATTTCTTGACAATAACAGATGTATTGTCTTCTTTTTTCAACACTTTTTCTGTTTATGGAATGAAGAGTTTATTACTATTTTGTTCTCCAGAATCTTCTTGCGGAGTCCGCTCGTCTTAAGGAAGCATATCCTGGCGGAAACGCTGAGCACATTGCGCAGCAACAAGTGGAACTCGCCGAGAGTTGGCAGGAGCTGCAAATCGCCATTGAAGACAGACGTGATGAGCTGCGCGCTGCCAGAGATATGCATCGGTACGATCATTCACACTTCCATATCTTCCGCTCAGTTCTTCGAACAGGATCCATCTCTTCAGGATTACGGTATTTAGCCGCAGACTTGGATAGGATGATATTCGTTAATGATAGTGATTAATGATTAATGATGTGGTAACTTGATTTTGCGCAAGAGAAGTTAAACCATATTGTTGTGGTAGTTTCACCGAACTTCTAGCGTTCACTGTGCAACCAACTGTTATATTGGAGCTGTAAATTTCTAACTTTTACTCTTTGCCATAATATTAAGGGAGATGTGCTGTGATAGTTCTCTTCAAATTTTTTTGCGGCCTTTGCTTTCAGTTAAAATCCACTTTCAGCTTCAACTCCGATGTACGTGACCTGCTGGCATGGGCTGATATAACAATCGCTGATATGCAGTCCGAGATGCAAGTGTGTCTTCAATACACTCTTTTCTCGTGAGCTGTGTTTTGTTAAATTATTTGCTGTTGGCTACTACGAGAACCACTTAGGTAAACGGCCTACAACAAGCGGAAGTTCTCCAAAAGGAACACTCTCGACTGTACGGTGAAATCACAACACGAGCACCCGAGTTTGAGAAAGTGGCGCGATCTGGTCAGGCGATGATCCAACGCGGTCATTTCGATTTGCACAATATTGAGAAAAAGGTACATCAGGTGAGTGATATAGTTAGGTGATGCGCTGTCATGATGTTCTTATGTGCTTGGTTTATTGTCGTAATAAAACCTATTAAAGTTAATCTATATTAACGCTGAATAATTCTTGGGCTTCCTTCATCGATTTCCAAGGATCTAAATTCTCCTTACAGATCAATACTGCGTTGGAACACCTTCGATCCGAGTGGGAGCTTCGAGGAAGCTACTTAGTTCAATTGGTTCAATGGCATGCTTTCCAACAGGAAGCGAATCAAATCCTTACTCTCATAGCTGCCAAACGTGCTACATTACGGTGAATGGGCATTGTGGTAGCATTTCAAGTCGAGTTCATGAAATTCACAAATATGTTTGCCATTGAAAATGATATCATAAGCTGGAAGTTTGGTTACCGATTCCGCTAATTATTCGCATTTAAGCCATAATTTCAATAATGATGGAGTTGGATAGCAGGTAAATCTGTTTTCAGTCAGTTAGCTGTTGGAGGTAGTGTTGCCGATGTTGAAGGTCAAATGAAGCGTTTAGACACCTTCGAGAAAGCGTTATCGACGATGGATGAGAGAACGAAAGTAATTTACAAATTTTTTGTAATTAAGAGAGGGGATCGGCTTAACTTACTCAACCCTAGGCGCTGGATCGTACTGCCAATGAATTGATTTCGCGAAATCACATGGAGAAGAACAACATTGAGATGTCGAGGAAAAAGGTAAAAATTTATTATTTACTCATTTGGATATCGTTTAGATCAATTTATTGCTATTGTTTTTTTCTCAGTAGTTTTTTTATAATTTGACAAAATACTTTGAGAGTAAGTTGGGTTTATTTTCAATCCTCACTACTCCATTCAAAGCGATAACAGGGATACACAGACAGGACATATCTTCTTATGATCTTAGTTTGAAGGGTGACTACTGATGGTATCGTGACAGTAAATACTGGCTGAGAGAAAGGCAAAGCAAGGGCCTCCCAGTGGTGCAGTGAGTAACACCTAGAACCCCGGAAAGGGTAATCATGGGTTCGAATCTGTCCTGAGGTCCAAGTTTTGTATGTACCTCGGAATTATTTTGTTTGTATTTCACATAATACCCTGGCGTGGAAAAATAGTGATCGGTAGATAAAAAGTTAAACATCGTTGTCATAGTTTCGAACAAGGATGAAGTCAGAATTTTTTTTACACTGAGTTATTCATCCGTTGGTAAACTTGTGTACGACAAAGCGTTGTGTTTCGGCTCATAAATTTTGTGTGATTTCTTTCTATTAGTGGAACTGAAGTGATTAGTTATCTACTCTATAGACTTATAGAAGTAAATTGTTGTTGCATTCTAGGTTCATGACGCATTATCTCTTCTACATCGGGATGTCGAACAGCGGCATACTGTGCTTAATGAGGCCTTCATGGTGGCAACATTCGATCGCGACGTGGCAGACACTGAAGCATGGATTGATGAAAAATTAAAGGGGTAAGTGCTGTTAAACTTACTTATTTGGTTGAACAATTCTTTCCACTTCTGTGCAGCAAACACGAGGTGCTACTACACTTCTCCACTCACGTAAAAGCTGACGTTTAGGCGGATTTGCACAGAAGTGGAAAGAATTGTTCAATCAATGCCAAGGTCGATAGAAAGTCGGACATGGGAGTTACTTATTTGGATACTTGGATGGCCCGTCCTAACTGGTTGTGCGCGATCTAGCATAATCTTCATTTTTCGGAGATTTGCTGGTTTAGCCATTGTGTTTCCCTAGAGTCCCGAGGTCAGCCAAGCCAAAGTCTCCCTCGGGTCGTCACCACCACAGCCAGTCGCGGCCCATGTGGGTAAGAGGAAGATTTGCCACCATGCGAATAGTTTGATACCAAGACAGTGGTGGATCCTGGTATTCGCTTGCTCTTAGCTAAGTTTCCTGATGGAAACATCGTACTCCTCAACTTGGGAGACTCTGCCGGGGGAATGAATCCCTCCGCTTTACATCTCAGTCCTACACCCAGGATCACCTCCCAGCCACAATGAGGCGGTAAGCCGTTGGGAGTCTGTTAAATTAGTTGCTGGCAATTTGTTGTGTGTTGCGAACAAACTAATCAGAAAGTGGTCTCGTTAACGGAGTAATTTGGGCACGTTTGCTACGCTATTTAATGGGTTGTTGATGCTTTTCACGTCCACTATTATGCATTTGTTCCTAGACGTATAATTTTCCCTTTATTTTTAGCAACGATTTTTCTATAATTTGTCTTGATTTTCAGAATTCGGCTAGAAAAGGAGCGTCAAGGACAATGTAGTTCGATAGAGGACAAGATGAAGCGATTACAGAAGCACCAGGCACTTGAGGCAGAAATGGCAGCGAACCGTAAACGGGTGGAACAAGTACTTCAAAGAGGGAAGGAGCTTCATACGAAGCATCGAGATGCTGGAGTAGGTGTTATGAGTCATATAGTATTGTCATTCTGGATCACTTAGAAGAGACTTTTGTAGCCGTTTTTAACCTGAAAATTCGAAATCTTGAAGGATATGAAATACTACTGTTTACAGATTACCTCTCGTTGTGATGGTCTATATAATCGTTGGTTGGCACTTGTGGATGCTTGCGGAGAACAGTCGCGAGCTCTTGAAGAAGCACGAGATCTTCTTACATTCAGGCAACTAGTAAGTTTTAAAGTCCCAACGGATATCAAGAACAGAATGCCCAAATTGTGTTGCTTGGTCAGCACGCAGTTGTGCAGACTATTAATCATTCAGTTAATTCCGTTATTCGTGAATTTAAGAATGTTTGGAGAGGTGAGATATTCAGTCCCGTATGGTGCTAAGATTTATGGATTAGAGCATTTCCAAGTAGTTTTATTCCTTTTTGCATAATTAGGTCGAACGTGTTTTATCTTGGGCTCACGAAAGGGAATTGATGGTCACAGCTGCTGATATGGGACGTGATCTTGAACACTGTAAAGTTCTGCTTGATCGGTGAGTTTGAGCTTGACGTTTTTTGGGTTTCTCACTTTTAAAAGATGTGATGTTAACGTTACAGACTGGATGGTACCAAAGCTGATTCTTCAGTAGATCAGGAAACCCTTGAGCAAATAAATCGGCTTGGAGAGAAACTCATAGGCCAAGGAAGAACCAGTCTTGAGGAGGTGCAACAACAACAGCAACATCTTAACCATACGTATGTTCTATATGTTGCTTATTATTGTGTGTTTCTTGGTGTTTTCAGATAATCTTTTTCAATTAAGTTTCCAAGCATACCTTCCATTACTTCTTTGGTTTTTTTGTGGTTTTTCCTAATGGCTTTTTAACAACTTTATTTGGAACAGAAAACTATGCTTCAGGTGGGATGCCTTGCATGGGAAACTGGCTGCATATCGCCGAGAACTCGTAGCTGCATTGGAAGTTCACGGTTTTAACCATGATGTCGATGATACTAACGAGAGAATTCATGAGAAAATTGCTGCGATGCGAAGCGATGACTACGGAAGAGACTTTGCTACGTGAGTTCTCAGTGTGTGGTCGGTCATCGGAACGAGTTAAGTTGTCGTAGATTCAATAAGATCTGGTTTTAAAATCAAAATCAACTAAGAAAGGATTTTTTTAGAGTTAGGTGAAATCTAGACAGATGAATAACGAAGCGTCATGTCCTTGGCTATGGGTTAGAGTCAATATCAGGATTTCTTATCGGCTTTGAATGCCCTTAGAACTAACCTTAATAATTTGTGTTCGATTATCTAGGGTTGATGCTCTCTTGCGAAAGCAGACGGCTCTTGAACGTGATATGAGTGCTATTCATCAGAAACTCATTGCTCATGATAAGGATGCGCAGAACATACTCGCTAAGGTCCACTTTTCTTCATTAATTCTACGAAGTGTTTGACTATCTGCAATTGTTTACTTATGATAGCAATCTTGTTATGACGTTCAGAAGCCACCGCTTAAGCATACGGTACTTGATTCTCTCAAGAAACTAGAAGAGAGCTGGAAAGAGCTGAGCCAAGCTGCAGAATTGCGAAATGAATATTTGGATAAGTCGTAAGCTTCATTTTTTGGTATTACTTTTTCGGCAGTTTGTAAATATAGTATAGTTTTGTTTTTTTTCTACTCAAAAATTTCGTACCGACAATGTGGAATATTTTGCGAGTGTTCACTTACCATCTTTATTCGCCATACGTCTACCATTCCTAAAGTTACGTTTCCCTCTTATTTGCCATTTTTGTTTAGATGTCTTCATAGGTAAGTCCCATGTTTAGATACAAACTTCACAAATACATAGACCAAGTGAAAAAAGCGGAGCAGTGGGCGATGCAACTTCGCAATAAAATGACGTCTTACCAACCACCAAAGACTAGCGCCGAAGCAGAGCAGCTGATAGCCCAACACGCTGAACGAAGAGCTGAGATTGACGGTCGCCAAGTACGTTTTTTGGACCTGAAATGTTGCTGTAATATAAAGTGGTCGTAAATTATGGTTTTTATTTCTTCAGTGCTGGTATGATATAAATCTTGCCGAATTTTTCCTCTAGGATGAACTCCATGTACTTCACGAAGAAGGCCAACGCCTCATAGCAGAACAACCAGAGCACAAGTCGGAAGTACAGCGAGCTCACAAACGCGTTCAAAATTCGGAACACCAGTTGAGGCAGACATGGGAATCAGAGAAGGTCAGTTTTTTGACATGAAGCAATCTTGTGTTCTTCAAGATGTTCGTGAAAACTCCTTAATTTTCGTCGGTTTTTGCGGTTTTTTTAAATGATTTATGTTATTGTTGTGCTGAGAACTTGGCACTTGTAGAAGAGATAGAGATTTTTCACAAAGGTCAGCTATAATATTGGTGGGCAACTTTTTTTGCCGGATGAAATCCGGTTTGTTCAAACCCTCGGCCTTCAGAAATATGAAGTCTAAGGAAAGAAGGGACGGGCTTCAAGCTATAGAAAGTCAGGATTTTGTTGCTATTAGAGAACCTCCATCTTTTTGACAGTGGTCTTTGAAATTTGCTCATTTTTGTTCCAATTGATCACGTTCGCCAAAGCCTGGGAATGTTCATTTAAAGTTGGAAGGCGCATTGCATTGAGCCACATATGAAACAAAATCAGCTCATGTTATTACAAACGTTAGAATTTTGGAACGTGATGGCAAATGATTTATCACGTTCATATAATAACGACTGTGCCAGTGGATCAGTTTAGTGTTTTTAAACTTTGCTATTCGTTCATACTTTGCTACTCCTTTCCACTGTTCAGGCGTCACTGCAACGTATGCTAGAGTGGCTGCAGTGGTGTGATCAAGCATCTATGTGTGAGCGATGGCTTGCAGACAAGGAAAATTTGTTAAAGCAAGGTGACATTGGTGATGCACCAGATGTGGTGCAGGTTGGTTCAAAGGTGATACCGTGTTCACTGACCTGATTAGCAGCTGTGAACTTAGGCTTACAGGGAAGAATGTACTCAGCAGGTTCCCGCTCTCCACTATTAATTGTGGAAATTTTTGTTTCTCTAGATGCTCATCAAATCACATGACGCGTTCGAAGAAACTGTTCGAAAGCAAAGTGAGAAGCTTGAATGCCTGAAAGCAGATGCTATGCAGTTAATCTCAGGAGACAATGAATACCGAAGTGATATCGAGGCTAGGTGGGTATTTATGATGGACGTGTTATTAAATTTGTTGGAAGTGTCATATTTTTTTTGATATTTCGAAAGATGAAAGTTGTTGTTTTTTTTCTTGAGGGTTGAACATTTGAGCTCTTCAAATTTGATCTTTCCTGTTATGATATTAGCCTTGTCGAGGTTTGTGTTCATTTTTTTCAAAAATGAAACTTATCTTTAATCAATTTCATTTTCCAACCATACTGATTTTTATGCTAATTCTCTAGTGTTCATCATTTAGATGTGAAGAAGTTATGCAACGATATTCATCGATGCTGGAGTTGTCGTCACGTCGGCGCGGTCTTCTCTGCGATAGCAAGAAGTATCATGATTTTATCCGTACCTGTGGTGAACTGATCACCTGGATCAATGCAAAGTTGCAGGTTTTTCGCGTGTTTCTCTCTGTTTATTACCACGAATTTAGAGCCACAACATATCATCCCCACCTTTAAAAAATAACTAGTACCGATGTCATAGATAAGAAGTGTTTTCATGAGCTTACTGGAAAACATGTTCTGTAAAACGTCGGTAAATTTCTGGAGTCAAATGTCTACCATTTGCTTTTATGAGTCTATTATTTTAAAAAACAATTTTTCAGCTGGCCTATGATGAATCTTACCTCGACCCGACGAACCTACGAGCTAAACTTCAAAAGCATCTGGCATTTGATTCTGAACTCACAGAGAACGAGAAGCGTTTAGTGGCTGTAGAAGCTCAAGGCGAACAGCTCATTAAGGAGAAACACTTCATGAGTGACCAGGTGAGACGGGCCCTTGGAACTTTCCTGTAAAAGAATACTTTATGTCATCAAGTCGGTCATCTTAGGTTGTGACCGTATTTTTTTTCTTTGTCAAATCTCATACTTTCGCTGCCACTACTTCTACTTTTCACATTATTAATCCGTGACTAACTGCATGCTTCTACTGCATAGGTATTTCAGTGGTTGTCAAAGGTTTTTTAAAACAATATATTACCAGGCGAAGATGTTCCTTATGATCAGGGATGTTTTTTGCCTCATGAAACGTCTTTTTACGTTCTTTATCTTCCAGGTACGCGCTCAACTTGGTGAGCTCCGTAGTGGTTGGGACGAACTGCGCACGAAATCAGCGCTGAAAACCCAGCGTCTTCGAGAAGCATACGAAGCTCATACACTCCAACGCAAGGTTGAGGATATGGAAAAGTGGCTTGATCGGGTATGATACTCTTCTGTCGGCTATATTTTGTTTTTTTGGCCTCTATTATATGTAATGTATGTAATTTGTAGTGCTGATCTTTTTTATCATATTGCGTTGTTATGCTTGTGTGGTGTTTTGACGATTATTGTTTGAACCTTTAAGATTGAAGCTGAACTCGCCTCTGAAGATCATGGTCGTGATCTTGTTTCGGTCGAACATTTGATGAAGAAACTAGATGCTTTGGATGCTGAGATCCGAGTATGGTTTACTGGTTTTGAGCCGTGAATCTGCAAGTGATCTAATTTTCACTCTTCTCAGGGGCGAGCTGATGTTGTGCGTGATTTGATGCAGAAAGCTCGTGAAATTAAAACTTTGGGCTCGCCAACATCTGATGTCATACTTCGCGCTGCTGAACAGGTTGACGCGCGGTATTCATCGATAAGCGAGCCGGTATTAATCAGGAGGTGGGCAAAGTTAATGTTTTAATTTTTGGTAAGGTCTAGAGTTGTTTTTCTTGGTCATGTCATCAATTACACAATTATTACCGAAACATTGTGAGCGAATAAGATATTATTAATCGAATGTTAAGGGAACAGGTTTTCAACTGTTTTCAAAAACTTGTCTTAGTAAAGTTATCTTGAATCTGCTATCGGTTATTTGAAAAATTGCTCAAAGTCGATGTGAATTGGCTCGTATAGCATATGCGAAAATACTCCTTTCCATTATCTGAGGTGGTTACGAAGCAGTAAATTCGAAATTCAATTTCAGCATTGAATGAATTGGCAAATTTGGCCTCAGTGTAGATTTCTGGATGAGTTAGTTTATTCCAGAGAGAATTTGCGTGATGCGCACGCCATGTACGAATGGACTGCGTGTGCAGAAGAGGAATTGGAATGGCTTGCCGATAAATTGCTATTGGCACGGAGTCAGGAGTGCGGTGACAGTTTGCATGCTGCTCATAGTCTTCAAAAAAAGCATGCAACACTTGAAAAAGAGCTCGAATTGCGACAAGTTAGTGATTTTCGGGAAAACCACGATGGTTGTTTTGAACCCTATTTTTTAGAAAATTGTTCAGGCTGGCATCCATGAGATCGAATCTAGAGGTGTGGCTATGGTGCGTGCAAAACATTTTGCATCGTCTCAAATCGAAAAGATGATCAACCAACTGGCGACGGCGCTCTTATCTGTTAAAGTAAAATATCTACTAGTGATATAAACATTTTTTTTGCAGTAATTTGCCTTGGTTATCGTTTTCATGTGTTTTTTCGTTGTGTATCCGAACTTCTGTTAACTACGTATGAAAACCGTTTTGTTCTACTAAGCATGGAAATAATTTTCAGGATGCCGCGTCGGTTCGTCGTACTCGTTTACAGCAAGCTGTTGATAGCCATGAGTACTACACGGAAACAGCAGAAGCAGAGCAATGGATAAGAGTGGGTCTATGATTCTAGTTGTATTACAGTTGTAATTCTGGAATATTTCTTAAGCATTCTTTTAAATTCTGAACACTTTTTCACATTCGACTCATTACCGTCACACTTTTCCTACAGGACCAAATGCCAGTGGCAGCTAATCAAGAAACTGGTCGTGACCAAAATTCTGCTGAGAGTTACTTACGACGGCTAACTGTTCTAGATAAGGAGGTGTAATCCTTTAAATATCCTTAACTCGTTTTATTTAGTGGCAATGTTTTTTTTGCTGTCACCTATATGTAAAATTTTCTTTACGTGCAGGTAGCTAAATTCCAAGATGAGCTTGAGCGACTTAGAGTACGCTGCGATTCACTACAAGATCATCAAGATGCCAACCAGGTATTTGGTTCTTCGTTTTCTTCTCTGCTCAGAAATCGGATTTTTTTGCAGAATTTTTAGATATGTCGGTTTCTTTTTCCTTCGGAATATCGCCAGTTATTGTTATAGATCGCCGCTCGTCAAGTGAAATTGGAAACTGCGTATGCCGAACTTGTCAAGGAGTGCAATAGAAGGCGTACACAACTTGTCGACGCTGGAAGGTACCACGGATTTGTTCGACAAGTTGATGACCTCTCAGATTGGCTTCATGATAAGGAACACGTGGGTTTTTGTTTGCTTACAGTTTCTGTCTATTAAACAGTAATTCATTATTCGACTCCTACTAGTACGTATAATTTTCTTTCCCTAAAATATTAGCCATCTTCATAAACCACAAATACCACCATCACCTGTATCACCTGTAGTCCCGTTGATCGTCGATTGACTCGAGCGGACGCCAGTAAATCTTCCATTCTTCCCTGTAACGTGCAAGAGTAGCTCAGTGGGTTCTTCCGGCTCTAGGGACTCGTCGAGCATCATATCTTTCTTCTAGACTTTTCGTGAGGAACTCTGACCATCGGGCCGGTGGTCTTTCTGCAGTATGTTTGACATCCCGAGAATCCAGTCACGGCCCTTGTCCACCGGTTGTCATTCATACGCATTACGTGTCCGGTCCACCTTATCTTCGACTGTTTGGCGTACAGAACAGCATCTTTGATTTTTGATTGTTGACGCAGATCGGAGCTTCGGATTCCATCCCTTACTTGTGTGGAACGGGATACTCCTAGAATCGTCCTTTCGACTGCGCGTTCGATAACGCTGACCTTTCATCCTGCTTACGCAGCGGCCAGGTTTCTGACACATACGTTAGGGCAGGAAGTACTGTTGAGTTGAAAAGGTGGGAACGGAGTCGGGTGTTCTTTGTTCTCTTCACTACATCCTCGATGCTCTTGAAATATCTCCAAGCCGCTTGTTTCCTTCCGCTCAGCTCTGGAGCTAAGTCGTTCGTTATATTGATTTTCCGACTTAGATAGATATAACTGGAGCATTCGGAGATATTCGTTCCGTTGAGCGTGAATGGGGCATGCGAAACCAATCCGTTTTTCATGACCATCGTTTTTTAATGAGATTTAGTCGAAGACCAATCTTTCCACAGGCTTTATCAAAGTCGTAAAGCATACGTTCCGCTTGGCTAATGTTTGGTGTTGCAAGGGCGATGTCATCAGCAAAGCGAAGATGGTGTAACTGCCGACCGTCGATTTTTACTGCCATATTATCCCATTGCAATCTTCGCATGACGTTCTGGAGAGTAACGGTAAATAATTTTGGCGAGATGGTATCGCCTTGCCTAACTCCTCTTTTGACGTCAATGTTAATATCGTTGTAGACTGGTGATATCTTGGTTGTGAAATTTTTGTACAGCTCACAAAGTATCTTTCTGTGCTGAGTGAGGACCGTTTGACTGTCAAGGGCTTCTATGACTGCTTCTATCTCAACTGCATCAAAGGCCTTGTGTAAATCGATGAAAGTGAGACGAAGCGGTCTTTTGTACTCTCGCGATACTTCAATGAGCCGTGTTACTGCGTGGATGTGGTTCATCGTACTAAATCCTTTTCGAAACCCTTCTTGCTCACATGGATGTTCTTCGTCTAGTGTTCTGCCAATGCTATTTAGGATGACTCAAGTGAAAAGTTTGTAGACGACAGGCAGTAAGCAGATAGGGCGATAGTTGCCGATATTGTGCAGGTCACCCTTCTTGAACAGTGAAACGGTCTTGCTGGTCTTCCACTGACTAGGGACCTTGCATTTAGACAGGTAACGTGTGAAAAACCGAACCAGTGTGTTTACGAGGACTGGCGAGAGGTTCTTCAGGTATCCTGGTCTTATCCTGTCCGGACCTGGTGCTGTTCGATTTTTCACCGACGAAATGGCATGTCGGATTTCGGAAGGGAGAACCGGTGGTACAACATATCAGTCCTCCTTTATTTCATATAATAGAAGGTAGACGTGGCTATCGGAGAGATCTGAGTAGTATTCGTGAATGATTTTCTCCATTGCCTTTCTGGACGCTGTTACTGTTCCGTCTAAGCGTCGGAGTGCAATCGTCTTGGTCTTGTAATTGGCAAAACTTCGATGGGCTTTGCGAATGCTTTTCCCAGCCTCTACAGATTCGACCATTACTGCTGCTCTTTCCTCTTTGTGATCTTCTTTTATCGCCTGTCTGCACTGTTTTTCAAGTTAGGACGTTAGTTCGTGGTTGCCTGCAGCTCGTGCGATTCCACGCTGGCGTATCAGCTCGAGTGTTTCTGGAGACAGTCTCTTGGTGACTTTCGAACTCTCAGCTTTCATAGGGCTAGCGTGAAAATGTTGAATGAACCGATCATGTTCTTCGTCGATGTTATCGACAACGGCGTCTTTGCAACAGCCAACTAATGAATTGAATAATTCCCAGTTTACGGTGGTTTTGGTACTTCGGTTTTTGAATTTAGCGGCTTTTTCTCAATAGAATCTTGCGCGAAAGAGACGATTGTCTGATCCCGTGTAGAATTTTGGGACAGCAGCGACATCGGTTAGGCAAAACGTATTTACTATGATGTGGTCTATTTCGTTATGGTACATTGGGAGACACCCACGTCCAGCGTTGAGGATGGGGCCTCTGGAATTGCGAGTTACCTTAGGTTGTCTTAGTCGCTATGATAAACTCAGACAGCTGCTCACCCTGTTCATTCCATTCTAATCCGTGGGTACCTATGTGACGTTCGTCAGACGTTCTTCTTGGTTCAATCTTGGCGTTGAAATCTCCAATGATGACCTTGAAGAATGTATGGTCTTCTCTGTAGAATTTCTCCAAGTCCATGTAGAACTTCTTCGACTTCGTCATCGTCATAGTTTCTTGTCGGCGCGTTAAAAACGAAGATTGAAAAACCGGAATTTATCCATGTCTTTTTATTCGTAAACTCCGATTCGGGTTATGAGTTGTTCGAATGAATCGATCTTCATGGACAGACTCATGTTGACGAGATCGCCGACTCCGTCGAGTCCTCTACTGTCGCATGTTCCGAGGGACAGTTCTTCTCCAGTGTCATAGACGGCGTTGAAAGGGTGGCGTCTTCTCTTCTCGGCAAGGCCAATGACGTCGTACTTTATCCTTCTTGATTGCATGAGCAAGTCTTCTATCGAGGACTCGGATGCAAGTTCACATGCATTGTAGGTTCTCAGATCGTCACCATAGTTCTTTGAAATCTAGGCAGCTTCCATCGGCACTGAGATTTTAGCAGCCTCCTCCGTACTTGTCCTACCCAACGCTGCGAAATTAGGAGCTCTATCGGAGTCAGGGAAACGAGGCCTGTTTTTTTTTAAAACTGTATTTAGCATTTTTGATACCCACGTATAGCTTGCTGAGTTCTGAACGTGGAGGCTGGGTATACTCACGGATAACTTGCCAAGCTCTCCCAGAGTGGACATGGAGCTTATTTGTTGGAGGCGACTCCTAACCACCTCCAATATACTTCCTACTCACTTGATTGCAGGCTTTTGGCCGAATTAACTCATAGAATACAATCCGCATAAGCAAGAACACACCCACATAAGCATGCATGAACGCGCTTAGCAAATTCAGAAAGTATGTGCTAAATCAGTGCAGCGGAAGCAGGGAGTCGATCTCCTGGATCCACCTGTGTCCCAGGAGGCAAAGGTCGCTTTTGGTCCTCGATTAACCCCTTATCCGCCATCTGGGAACGCGCCACATAACCTCGTGACTAACAGGCTCGAGATCCCCTATAGTACCATTAAGTTGAGTGACTCGACCCCATGCTTGTAACATTGTAACACAACACACACGTTTCCAGTTGGCTTCTTCTGAGGATTATGGCAGAGACCTTGAGGATTGTGTACAACTCACTGAAAAGTTCGAGACTATTGTTCGAGAGTTAGCAGCTGCTGGTGAGCGGGTAGCGGCAGTGCAGCGAGCGCAAGAAGAGCTTCTGAGAAGTGGTAATTATGACAAAGCGAATACCTTATTGTTTCTCTACTAGTTTGAATGTCGAGGTTTACGAAATTATCAATAGTTCACTTTCATTTTAGGTCATCCATATGCAGCTTCAATTCGTGCCAAAGGTACAGATCTGCAAAGTCTCTGGACTTCCGTTAACGAAGCGGCCACTGAGCGACAGCATGCGTTGGCCGGTGCACGTCAAGTACATCGATTTGACCAAGAAGCCGATGAAACACTAAATTGGCTGCAGGTTAACTCCGATTTATCAAAAAACTAGCGTTTTGGAAATTACGCCGATTATAGTAATGAGATCACATCTAGCACATGTTTTGTTCTTTCGTGTCCTTTACGTCTCAATTTAGCAAATATTGAGTGGCTCTTTCTTGTTATAGTTTATTTTCTTTTTTGAAAATATCGCTTCAGGATAAAGAAGCAACTGGAGTTGCCATGGAGAACGAAGAGCTTGCTCATGCCGATCTTGCCACCATAAAGGTTCAAATGCAACGCCATGACGAGTTTGTGCATGGCATGAGAGCTGTTGAGAAACAGGTAAGCGTGAATTTTATCATTCGGATGTTGCGATATTCTGTGATAATTTAATTACATCTCATCGACAAGAGGACCTCAAGGGAGACCATAACTGTTTTCGTGACAAAAAACCTTAAAGGAGTTATTTTGCCTATAGTTAGGTATTAACACGTAGTTAGAAGTACTATTTATTGCGCACAGAGTTTATGGTTCGTCCTCGCGCCAGGACAAAAACGCCTCCAATTCCCTCGGTGTTGGAAATTTCGTAGCAGAGGAGTGCACATCATTGTATATGCCAAATGTGCATTCTATCTTCTTTGAAATTATGTGGATTTCAACGTGTGGCGTAAGGTGTTGATGAGCCTTAAACGTTTTATTCTTAATCGTTTATACTTTGGAAGCTTATATCTCTCTGTCATATATACAACATGACAACGTTCGAAGTTCATTACTAGATTAGCGAAATGTCCATTTCTTCTGTTCAAGTTGTGATCATGCTGTTTTATAGGTTGCCGAACTATGCCGTGAGGCCGAGCGGTTGTGGGCGGCATTTCCGAATACTCGTGAACACCTTGAAGTAAGGAAAATGGACATGGAAGAACAACTAAAAGACATTCTGGAAGGTGCAAGAAGGCATCATGAACGTCTTCAGCATATGGAAAGCATGCAGGCCTATTTCCAGGTGAATTTTATTGGATTGATAGAAACATTTATGGATTTTATAAAACTACTTACTGCAGGAATATCGTGAACTTATGCAGTGGGTGAAGAAAATGCAGGCAGTGATGACGTCTGAGCAGTTGCCACGAGACGTTATTGGGTGCGAAGCACTGGGACGGCGTCACGACGAGTATAACCTTGAGGTTAGTTTGAGCTAATTTTTCGTACCAAATGTCAAGATATCCTCCTTTTTGTTTGTTGTTTTTTTGTAAACGTGGATTACATTAGTTCAAACATTTAGTGTTTAGAGTTTCAGATGCAAGGGCGAAAACCACATATAGATGAGTTCGTTCGTCAGGGAAGGCATGTGATTCAGGCGGGTCATGTGTTGTCTCAAGAAATTGGCGAAAAGGTGCAGTTTTTTCTAAGTTAAACTCACTTTATTTTTATCAGTATGAGCAAGCATTCTGTTTAAGTGTAATACTACTTACTTTCTTAGATGGTCCGTCCTCATGAGTTGTGCGGGCCCCAGCATATCTACCATTCATTTCTTTTGCTCGCAATCGTCGTCCTTGGTGGTGGTTTTGTTTAAGCATGGTAGCGCGTGCGAGCCTCATACCATGATCTGTAAAATAACTGAGGCTGCGCGTGAAGCTGACTAACTTTGGTTACGAACATGTCCACCCAACGTGTACTTGGCCGTCGTAGGGGAAGTTTGCATTCTCGTGGAATCATCCACGCTGCAGTTCTTTTCGTTCATCTATCTCTTTTGTTGTTCTCATTCTCTTTCTCTTCTTTCTTTCTACTTTCTTAGTGTATTAATAGAGATTGTAGATTTGTAGGTTTCCCAGTGTATTCCAGAACTCTTCGTATTATAATGTATCTTCAGTCCAGTTTTAAGGCATCATTAACAGGTCGGATTATTTATTCGTAAAATTCTGTACGTATGTATACATATTGTTAGGTCAGAACTCTCGAAAGGTCATGGGCAGTTCTGTGTGAAGTGTGGAAAGACCGTCATGAATTGTATAACGAGAATTTGGATTGCCAAAGATGGAAACAAAACGCTGCCCAGCTGGAACAGTGGTTGCTTGAGAGAGAACGAATGCTTGGTCGGTCTCTATTTTTTCTGTCTTTTCTGTTAGTTATTGTGGCTTCAGAGCTTGTTAGATGTATTTCATATAACTAGTTTACTTTTATCTGTCTCTGCTAAGTGTACTAACAGCTTCTGCTTTTCAGCTGATGACTGGCGTCATATCGAAAGTGTGGAAAGCGCCGAAGCTCATCTTCGTGACTTCGATGATTTCCTAGTGACACTGGACACCCAAGTAGATCGTTGTGAAATGGTTGAACGCCTTACTCTCATCGAACAGAATTTCAGTCGTCTTAGAAGAAAGGAGGTTCTTTTTTGAACAATCCAGTAGTAACTGAGTATTTCTTCAGTTCGAACACTTATATCACTTGAAGGTTGAACGATCTCGCATTGCTGAAGAAGACCAGAAACGTCGCGATACGATAAAGGTGGTTGAAAAAGGACAGATTCTAGCCAATCGTCGCCAAGAGAGGGAGAGACGGAAAACTCAGGTTAATACCTAATTTAGTGTCCAAACAATGTTGTACTGTGCATTATGGTTAGTAAATTTCGGTTTCAGGAAATCTCACTGCTTCGACCTACTACCAATGATGATTTATCAAGTCAGACTTTGCCACGAAAAATAGACAGAGTGGAGAGGAGCAAAACTTCTGCTCTTTGTGAGTTTTCAGGTTCACAAATGTCTTTATATGCGAGTACGTCGATTATAATTGCATAGAAAATTGCGGCTGGTTTTTTCTAGAAAATCCCTGCATTATCCTATTGGAGTATTATATCTCCGCCTATTTAAAGTCTGATACAACTTTTGTTCGCTAAGTACATCCATGTTTAAAACGCCACGATGTGTTTCGATTAGTACAGCGCTTAAAATAGAACTAATCTACGCCAATCTTTCCAGGCGAAACAGTCATGGTTGGAGGACCTTCAACTATAGTCGCTTCGAGCGTGAACGCTCCGATAATCTCTTCGGCTGATGTTGAAATGAAGAAAACGCCATCGTTCAACACTCGTAGAGGAAGATCCGTCTCAAGAAATAGCACAAGCCGTTGGGAAGATATGGGTGCCATTGATATGAGAGGGTAAACACTTTTTGGTATCTCGAAAGTATTGCATAAAGGAATACTATTGCTTTCACTTATGATTTTATCTACTTTTAGCCTGATTTTTTTTAGTAGCCTTTGAAGTATTTTTAGACTTGTGTCGAAAATTAATACATGTGTAAACACTTAAAACCCAGTGAACGAACACATCAATCTCGTGAACAGGGGCTTTAACTGTTCTCGTCAACATTTGCCATTAAGCTTCCTCGACCGTAAACAAGATTTACAAAGTGGCGGTAAAAAAGCGACAATACGATCATGGAAGAACTACTACACCATTCTTTGTGGTCAGCTAATGTGTTTTTTCAAGGTTTGTGGTCAAATGCTACCACACGTCATATTAAGCACAATAACAGACATTTGTGTCTTCTGTGGTATTCTAGGATGAATCAGCACTTTATGGAAATCTTGCGGCGGCTGCACCTGTATATATCTACGGTGCACGATGTGAACCCTTCCCAGAATATGTGAAAAGAAAGCATGCGTTTAGGTACGTTTTAGTATCACACAGAGAATTCCTAGTATTCTTGTTGAGCAAACGCGAGGTGTTACTTTTATTCCTTATTCACGAATAAGCTGACGTTTCGGCGGATTTCACCTTTCTCAAAGCCTGGAAAGATCAAGTTGACAGCAATCTATTCGGCCAAACACCTCCATAACTAAACAGAGAAAACGCTGACGCAAACGCTGAACCAAGATTTCAATCACATTGAACACAGTTTTGCACACTCACCGCTTTCTATGAATCTATTCTTTTTTTTTGAGTTTCTTTTCTATGTTTCTATTGCGTAATTTGCCCCAGTGGTAGAGACGGTGACTGCGTGAGCTCGGGTATAGTTTATCTGATCTCCTGTAAGGCGTGAGGAGACGAATACATTGGCGAAATGGATAGACCACTCAGTGTCCGCATAAAAGAACACCTAACAGGCAAACGTCTACCAAATACCCCACTAGGCATGCATAGGACCCAGAGACATAACGGAGAGGACTTTGAAGTACGTGTTGCGATCCTCGCACAAGAATCGAGAACGCAAGCGCGCAAAACTCTCGACGCGTTCTGGATTAATTCCAGAAATCCAAAAATGAACCGCAGTGAAGAATGCCTCATTATCACGCTTGATATTGGGCAGTATATAAGACTTTTTCTGATAGGAGGAGCACATTACGCTTCTGTGCGGTTGGTTTCCACGTAACATATTTAGTGGAATACTCATAGAAAGCGGTGAGTGTGCAAAGTTATGTTTAATGTGATTGAAATCTTGGTTCAGCGTTTTCCTTGTTTGGTTATGGAGGTGTTTGGCCGAATTGATTGCTGTCAACTCGATCTATCCAGGCTCTGAGGAAGGTGAAATTCGCCGAAACGTCAGCCTATTCGTGAATAAAGAATAAAAGTAACACCTCGCGTTTGCTCAACAAGAATACGAGGAATTACTTGATCAATGCCGAGGTTAATAGAGAGTCGCTCGTGGGAGTTACAGAGAATTCCATAGGTAGTCTATGTTTTTTGTAAATAGTATTTAAGAACTTTCTTTTTGAAAGATTTCTGGTGTTTATTATACTAGCAAAATCGGCGTTAACACACAATTGGTGTCTCGCTTAAACACTAAGGTTTTTTAAAAGACGAAGTCAAAGATTCTATAGACTTTCGTTGAGAAATATCGTATTTGCTGGATATTTCTGGGAGTAATCGTTGGTTTACCAGATTGGCTACCCAAGATGGTGCCGAATACATGTTTGCGTGCACTGATGAACGACAAATGCTGGAATGGGTTGCAAAGGTTAAATTTCATGCAGAACTGGCACCCAGTAACCAGCTGAGATCATATTCATATCAAGGTGGCTTCTTTTAATCCGAATTTTTTTCGTTTCTTTGTTTATTCGTCCATCGTTCGGCTTTTTTTTCTTAGAACATTTGTCAGCGTCTAATTCATGTGAATTTGGACCTTATGGAGTTCTGTACATATTTGTTTGTCGTAAGTGGAGGGAATTCCTCCCAATCCTCTATATTTGAGAAGTTTATGCCCATCGATAAGCTGAGAGTTGGAATAATAGGGTATTTGACGGTGGGATCATAGCAGAGTAATAATGATAGTGCATCAAATATTCCTATTTTTCATCGTTTGGTCTTCTTTCAGCTACTGAGGCAGCCCCAATACCGCCGCTACGACGTTACGACACCGGATCCCTAGCTAGTGAGGATGTTCCACCGTTGCCAATGCGTCGTGGTACACTGGTGGATGAGGAATCTCGTCCAATTTCGCGTGTATCCGCTTTCGATGCTTCTGATGGTGTCCATAATCATGACCAAATGATGCGTAAGTGGAAAACTTTTTTCTTCTCAAAACTATATGCTATTGCAGCCATGGTTTTGGGGTTGCGAATCATCGGTTTTATGTGCATGATTATGATTTTTTAAGAGCTTCTAAGCTTTCCATACTTTTCTCCATTTCGTCATATTTTTCCAGATCTTTTCCTAAAGTGGACAAAGATATTTCTTAGGTGGTTAAAATAAAATGAAAAGTAAAATGAAAAATATGAGGGAACCAGTTTTTGGAAAGGAGAACACTTTTAGTTAAGGCGTTGTCTTTATGTAAGGTGCTAAGGATTTGAATGAGTTAAGAGATAAGTTGATTATAGTTATTTCAAAAAGGATTTCAAAAGTAATACAACGCGCATTATAATACGATGATCTTATTTCTGCTATTGTTTGATGACCTTTGTCGTTATACATGGCTTTTCCTTCAGCTCCCTTTCATCGAAATTCTGAGAAAGTATTGGAAATGATCAATGGAAAGAATGAATTTTAAAGAATTGACGAACTCTTAGGGAATTGTTCTTCTAGAGTGCAATGATTACAATTCGCTACCGCGTGGAGCGTCGACCCATGTGGAGGCATCCATTCGCTTGTGCTCCACTCTCCCAAGAGGTGTCCGTTCGGGCCAACAGATAGGGGTGGAACCAAAGAACTCATTGACGAATTCCTTATCCCATATGCCCGCACTCTTCGAACCACGGAAGGTCACAGTTGTTCAGCGAGCATGCAGACGACAGTCGATTTATGCTGAGAGCATCTACGGCGATATGGAGGAAGTGGATGAAGTCTCGCAAGGCGATTTGAAGGGTTTGTATAACAGTTCTCCATTGACACCAATGTCTTGGATGTAAAGAATGACTAACGACATCGCAAAGAAGGTTTCTGTCCTTCGTTTGGCACTAACCGGTGGAGGCAGAAGATGTATCATGTCAATTTGATAAAGGAGCCGCTGTTTTCTTTTAATATGAGTTTGAACTTCGGTAAGATGAACAGCATTGGGAATGCTAACAAACGGCTGTAGTGTTTTTGTGTCATTTACACCAGCTATCTTACATTTCTAAACCAAAAGTTGTGTTCTATTTATTGGTGCGTTGCTAACATGATCGCACTGTTCTGCACAGTCAGTTATCAGAACGTGTCCACGAAAGCTCTCTTAACGTCCAACATCTTAAGTTAGGAGATTCAACAAATTGTGCACTTCAGTACTGCATGTTCAATCGGCAGAGTGGGTTTTTGGAGCCTCAATTTCGAATAATTTTACATAGTTGATAGCACTATTGCACATAAGCCACGTATGTAGCATGTGTTGTCTATAGGCCTAATTTCACTTTTCAACCAAGTGAACAACCTTTAATATATGAATAATATGGGCGACCTTAGTCAACCACAGTTTTATGAAGATTTTTTCTCTTCTTTGAAAAGTTTCTTAGAAATTATTTATCTGTAGGAAGCACTACGAATTCTTATACCGCTACAGCATCGTCTACAATACATCCACCTACATCTTCGAACGGCTATACGGTGCGTTTTCAGTCCAACCTTCTTAGACAGTGGATATTCGAGTTTCATTTTCTTGTTTATATTAATAACGAATTTATGGGTCTAACATTGAGAATAGCGAATTTATGGCTGTTGAAAGAGTAGATTATCTGTAGGTTGTTGATTTCGCTTTGCTTATGACTGAAAAGCCAGGAAGATCTCGTTCTCACAACAACTGTTATATTTTTGTTAAAAAAGGGGCGTTATTTTGTTTTTATATTCGATGTCAAGCATATTTAATTGGATTAGTTTTTTATAGCTCAGTTATGATGTATGGGTGAATTTTTTCAAACGATTGTTGAAATATAAACATTTGGAAGCCTTATTATTCACATAGACTTTTATAGGAAACGCTTTCTTATCGAGAATTGTCTGCATCGAACTACACCCGTGAGACACCACCACAAGTTCGTGATGGTCGAAGGACGGAGAGCGGGGAGTTCATCTCGTGGGTGGAGAACAACCAATACGGTAGACCACCACAGTCATCGACACCCATTTCAAGTCATGACACTGAATCTTTGAAAAGCGAGAGTAGGTTGTTTGGTTTTCGTTGTTATAAAAACATGTGTCTGGTAATGTCAAGTTGAACATTTTGATATTGTTTTGTCATAGCATTGGTAGCAGAGTAGAAGTGATTGATTTGCCTATTTGGCTTTGAAGTCAGGTACCATGGGCTACCTATTTGTCATGTACGTGTTTTTATCCCTCCAAACAAGTCTGGTACAAGTTTGCCGACTTTAGAGGGAGTGATGGAGACAGGTTAGACGGGGCGCAGACCAATTGCTATGCGCATCGTAGGGTACGTCTAATCACTGCTCTATACGCTCGTTATTATGCCAAACATATTTTTAAAAGTCCTCATCAAATCAGTGTTTAGATTTGTTCAGCACAATAATCTCACTACTTTTTTCCAGCCATTGTTTATAATGGGTGTTTGTTTTAGTTTAGCATTCAAAACTATTCTTTGCAAAATTATTTTTTCACGTAGCTTTTTCGTAATTTCGCAACAAGAAACGAATTGACTTCGGGCTAAGGTGGGAGCACTGTGAAATAAGCGCGTGTAAGATTATTATCCTGCAACTCCAATGGTGTCCTCGTTTCCGCTTTCTGTCATAAACATATCATTCTGATCTTATATGCTTACACGGTATGTAATCCTATTGTTATAACAGTTTGATAACTGTGCACCGTCGTTTATGGAATCTCCATTGATCTTCACGAAAATCCGTAGCTCATACGTTCCCGCATCACTGTCTACAAATCATTGACATTTGTTACTTAAGGTTTTACTCTTGCGAAAACAAGAAAATCGTTTAGCAGGTAAATACCGGGAAGAGAAAACAAATGTTTAGGAAGGTTTTTCAGAGAAGCGATTTTCGCTGTTCGGCAAACGAGGATCGAAGTCTCAAAAATGAGACGGCCAGTCGTTGACACTTGACACATGCGATGCGTTCGGCACTTCATGGTAGTGCGTTCACGATGGTTTGAAGTTCTCATTTATTTTCTGTTCAAGTTTTTATTACCTTTCTCGATACATTTATGTTTCGCCAACTGTCTTTAATCCATGAAATATTCTACATTTTGAAACTTCGTTATCCATTGGTGTTATTCTTTTTGAACTCTCATTTAATGTCGCTTAAATGTACACAGAGTTTTGCTCAGTGCCTGTCTTAAATTTTTCCTTCCCTTGTTTTTTGCATTATCAGATTTTATGTATAGTTCGATTAAGCGTACCTTTATTGTACTGCTCGTATGTTCACCACTTTAAATCGAGTTTAAATTAAGTTTTCTGTATCGATGGACTGGAAGAACTTACAGGTGCTTGTAACCTCCCATTTGTTTTATTTGTACTTCACAAAGCTCTTTATTAATGATCAGAATAAATTTCTACTTTTCATGTCTTTTTTGATTACTCCATAATTTGAAAAAGCACTTACCGCAATAGGTAGTGTCGCAGTAATTTGACGCTCGCCTTCGATCCTTGTTGAAACTTATTAACTGCACTGTTTCCAAGAAAACAAGAAGAATTGACTTCAACCAGCGTTCTACGCCATGCGTGAAGAAGAAGAAGTCCTCAAGCAGGAACGAAAGCAACAAGCAATGTGTTCGAAGACCTTCGTGGGTAATGAATACGAGGAAAACAAATCGAACGCTCAAGAAATGTTGGGATCCGCATAATAGATGTAATGGTGGGTCGCGTGAAAAAGTGATAGTAATGCCGATTTTTAGTAGTTGCTGTGCTACGCTGTGGGATACATAAACGGTATTTATATATACCTATGTGTGTATGACTAGATGTGTTCGGTCCTTCACTTACCTTTCGACTTTCCATAGTAACTAAGAAGCACATCTGATGCTGCGCCTGGTCTTGTTCACAGTCCTGTGGAGTATGGCAGAGTAAAATTATTGTAGAAATAAAGAATCCGAAGTGAAGAGTGTGAGGATGAGTGCTTATTGTGTTCCCGAACAACGGAGGCTGCGGACGAAATTTGCCCCGACTTGCTCCAACCGATCGATCAATGAGAGAATTGTAGGTGACAAGGAATAGTTATGAAAATATTCATAGGTCGCTTAGCGTTGATCGGTCCGTAGTGAATGCGCCATACTTTGGACTCCATCGAGCATTGTTGGGTGGCCTGTGCGAAAATTTAGTCGATACTACGACTTTCGGGAACCTGTGTTCAGTATCAATTCACTGTTCTTATTCTATCAGAATATGGTACCAATTTATACACCCATTTGGATGGGAGGCATGGTTAGTCGTCGGCATGGAGTCGATCCAAGGACCATGTTTGACTAGCAGGACACCTCTAACCACTTTGCTGCACTCTCCATATATTTACTTCGATACTTGGACTGCTCCTCCTCACTGGTTGTGTGGGCTCCAGCATAATATCCATTCTTCGGAAATTTGATGGTTAACTCACACTCGCCATATAATAGCTAAAAACGAATCCCTCGGAACACCCCATTTCTTAATTTGAATCGAATTCAAAATTCAACACGAACACCTGTGAACCATCGACTCGGACCATCGGCTCTCATGAAGACAAAAACGTCGAAACGTTAGTCGAATAAAAGTAATTTATCGACCTCGTGTAAGCTCAACAATTTATACACAGGCGAATCCGGAACAGATTGTATTGAAATAGTAACTATAGAAGTTTTTTAAGATACGGGAGTGCATACACGGATCAACCCTGGCTCGGGTAAACCAAAGCCCCTTTCACATTACTCCGAGTTTGGAAAATGGCCGCCAAACTTGTCTGGAAGTATCTCTAGTCCGTGAACTGGCGACCTGAATGAAGTGAAAAGCTGGAGTCGACACCATCTAAAATTTGACCATGTAAATAAATTCATCTGCTAGATAGATACAAGATGTTGAAGGATGTAATTCGAGTCGTGATCGTTCATCGGAAAATTCTCTTCGATCTACTGGGCTAACTATGAAATTATCATGAGTGACTGGAGACTCATGGTGGTTATCAAAGTCAGTCAGGTTTTGTGTGATGAGATATACCTTGAGAAAAATTTCATTCTGCTCTTCCATTTTAAAGTTCGGTAAAATCAACTGAAATAGTGGGGATTGATGATCACGCCTTTCGTGATCCGATGCTCAATCGATCTCGGTACAGCGTTGATTTCCTCCGCCTTTGGCAAAGAGGACCAAGTATTAGATTTTCCTTAATGCGTCGGTAATCACATGCTATGATTTACAATGTCTATACGGTGCTGCTTAGCCGGTCTGCGATTCATAAATTTCTAATGTCAACTTTTCAAAGTTATTCTATCGTATTGTCTGTCAATGCGGTTTCTATTGAGCACACAGTAGTTGCTCATCTGGTAATTGTTCTACAATTACCTGGACTTACTGGACGGAGGTTTGCTCCTTTTCGGATTACTGTAACTTAAGGAGTTTTTGACTAGGACACACACGTGTGATATAGTAGTTAGAGTTGACTAGCAATGCACACGTGATCATTGGTTCAATCCCGTATTCCGGGAAACCCAAACCCTCCATCTCTTCGCGGTCGGAAGATTGCTGCTAGATCTATCTAGGAAGATAAAAGCACCGGCCTGAATCATGAATAGGTCACCGCAAGCCATTGTTCAAGCCAGATATGCGTAGGTCACGTCAATGATGCCACCAATGAGTTCGTGTCCACGGCCAAATTGTTCTGCACACAACGCTTTACACCTTTTCCTTGGTCTCTAACTAGAACTATTCTATGCAAGATTTGGAGCTACACCGCTTTGCTAATCCGTGCCGTAACTGGTGTGAGGCATTCGGCATGTTTCGAACTTGATCAGGAATTCTGATCTCATAAGAGATTAGGATACGATGAGATACATCGAACAGCTAGACGAAGCCCGCCAAGGACGAGTTTCCACGAAAGCATTCGTAATATTTCGCTAAATCGTGAATGCCGTGATGCGCATTATACAACCGAACCAGATATACTTATCTATTAACTCCACTTTTAGCTGTTTTCTAGAAATTCAATTCAGTGCATTAAATGTCAGGGTTTCTTACTTTGTTCTTATTTAAATTGTTTTCATTTCTTATTATATGAAGGAACTTAACGTATTATGCGAATCTTAGCACTTAGTTCATTGAGATCATTTTCTCAACTCCGTTATCCTTAAATTTCTCTGAATTTGCATCTACGTTCAGAAGCCACTTCAAGATCTTGTCTTCTTCATGAATGCCCTTAAATGGTAGTCGAGTTGATTCTTCATGAAATTTCGGTATAGCTCCACTAGAGCGTTTTCAGGCTTTAACCACAGCAGTTTCCTGCCTTTGTTAATCCGACTTAGCTTTTCCAAACAAAGGTAGTGAGAATTTGAATAACAATGCTTGATAAGGAGATCAGTTGAATCTCGAAAGAATGGAAAGCTTAATGGGAACTGTATGCGGAGTCGAACTAGGACCACGCGTGCATTATTGCGCTGTATCTCCAGCCACGTGGTCGTGGGTAGAGCAGTGGTAGTGATCTTGATCATACGGGGATGAAGCAACCTCCCCAGGCTCTGGTTCGTCCCCGCACAGCGCCCATCAGGCCCGTCTTCTCCATGACATCACGAATTAGCCAGCGGACTTGTCGGGGGTCGGCTCTCTCTAATCCACATGGGAACGCCCTAACACGGCTATCTCAAGATTCCAGGGAAAATTATGTATTAACAGTAATAATAATTAGCTAAGCGAAGTTTTATTTAACTTCACCGTGAATAATCAATACATTTGTTCAGATTGTTCAGCTTACACGAATTTGTTATAACTTACGACTTTTATTCTTCCGACGTTTCCACATCTTCGCCGTCCTCAGAGCCAATGACCCGAGTCGATGGTCCACAGTCGTTCGTATTTTCGATGTGAAATCTTCGTTGACGTATCGAAGGTAGAAGATAGAAGATAATCTTGAGACGAGATAATCTTCGAATATGGAGAAGATTTGACTCGATATGACAACGAGGTCACCACATCGAGAGTACGAACGATAGCGGACATCGACTCGAATAACCAGCTGTGAGGAAGGCTAAGACGTCGAAACGTTAGCCGAATAAAAGTTTTATAACAACGTCGTGTAAGCTCAACAATCCAAGCAGATGTAATAGTAATAATAATAACGATATTAATCTTTAACCAATGAGCTTCGCACGCTCCGTCATGCTTAAATATTTCAGATAGATTAGTGATAATACTCAGCCTCCCAACGGTTTACCGCCTCATCGTGGCTGGTTACTGGGTATCGGACCAAAATGTACAGCGAGGAGATTCATTCCCCCGGCAGGGTCTCCCAAGTTGAGGAGTACGGTGTTTCCATCAGGAAGTCTAGCTAAGAGTAAGCGAACACCAGAATCCACCACTGTCCTGGCATCAAACTAGTCGCATGGTAGCAAATCTTCCTCTGACCGACATGTGCGGCGACTACCTGTAATGGTGACGACTTAGGGCAGACTTTGATCAGGCTGACCTCGGGACTCCAGGGAGCCACAATGGATAAACCGGAGAAATACTCCGAAAAATGGAGATTATGCTGGGGCCCGCACATCTAGTGATGACGGGCCGTCCAAGTGTCCAAGATAATACTCAGCATGATTTCCACTTTACTAGTATTCCGTTAATTCTACAGAGATTTTTTTTTGCACGAACCCTTAAGACACTTGCACGAATTTATATCCAACTTTTCACCAAGAGCTTTGTAGACTGGAAGGTTACCTCATTGTATTGCTTTGTTACCACCTCGCATAGTCGATCATGAGACCCGTTAAACTATTAAGAGAGCAGCTAGTCGTAAAATAACTTTCGTATTTACGATTTTGAAACGTAGACGTGTTTTCCATGAATTCTTATAACGTCTCGGATTTGTTTGGATTCCTTGAATAATGAAAAATAAAGTGACATTTCGCCCCT